TTGGTCAATTTTGACGACTTGTTCAACTTTTCAAAACTGTCTCAAAACGCTCTAAAATGAAAGATATTAGTCTTAGGAAGCCATTTTTAGCATTTTAAGACAGTTTTTGAAAAGTTCAAAAAGTCGTCAAAATTGACCAAAATGGTAAGGGGTAAGCCTTACCATTTTGGTCAATTTTGACGACTTGTTCAACTTTTCAAAAACTGTCTCAAAACGCTCTAAATGAAAGATATTAGTCTTAGGAAGCCATTTTTAGCATTTTAAGACAGTTTTTGAAAAGTTCAAAAAGTCGTCAAAATTGACCAAAATGGTAAGGGGTAAGCCTTTTCATTTTGGTCAATTTTGACGACTTGTTCAACTTTTCAAAAACCGTCTCAAAACACTCTAAAATGAAAGATATTAGTCTTAGGAAGCCATTTTTAGCATTTTAAGACAGTTTTTGAAAAGTTCAAAAAGTCGTCAAAATTGACCAAAATGGTAAGGGGTAAGCCTTACCATTTTGGTCAATTTTGACGACTTGTTCAACTTTTCAAAAACTGTCTCAAAACGCTCTAAAATGAAAGATATTAGTCTTAAGAAGCCATTTTTAGCATTTTAAGACAGTTTTGAAAAGTTCAAAAAGTCGTCAAAATTGACCAAAATTGTAAGGGGTAAGCCTTACCATTTTGGTCAATTTTGACGACTTGTTCAACTTTTCAAAAACTGTCTCAAAATGCTCTAGATTGAAAGATATTAGTCTTAGGAAGCCATTTTTAGCATTTTAAGACGCTTTTTGGAAAGTTCAAAAAGTCGTCAAAATTGACCAAAATGGTAAGGGGTAAGCCTTCCATTTTGGTCAATTTTGACGACTTGTTCAACTTTTCAAAAACTGTCTCAAAACGCTCTAAAATGAAAGATATTAGTCTTAGGAAGCCATTTTTAGCATTTTAAGACAGTTTTTGAAAAGTTCAAAAAGTCGTCAAAATTGACCAAAATGGTAAGGGGTAAGCCTTCCATTTTGGTCAATTTTGACGACTTGTTCAACTTTTCAAAAACTGTCTCAAAACGCTCTAAAATGAAAGATATTAGTCTTAGGAAGCCACTTAAGCATTTTAAGACACTTTTTGGAAAGTTCAAAAAGTCGTCAAAATTGACCAAAATGGTAAGGGGTAAGCCTTACCATTTTGGTCAATTTTGACGACTTGTTCAACTTTTCAAAAACTGTCTCAAAATGCTCTAGAATGAAAGATATTAGTCTTCGGAAGCCATTTTTAGCATTTTAAGATAGTTTTTGAAAAGTTCAAAAAGTCGTCAAAATTGACCAAAATGGTAAGGGGTAAGCCTTTCCATTTTGGTTAATTTTGACGACTTGTTCAACTTTTCAAAAACTGTCTCAAAATGCTCTAAAATGAAAGATATTAGTCTTAGGAAGCCATTTTTAGCATTTTAAGACAGTTTTTGAAAAGTTCAAAAAGTCGTCAAAATTGACCAAAATGGTAAGGGGTAAGCCTTACCATTTTGGTCAATTTTGACGACTTGTTCAACTTTTCAAAAACTGTCTCAAAACGCTCTAAAATGAAAGATATTAGTCTTAGGAAGCCATTTTTAGCATTTTAAGACAAATTTTGAAAAGTTCAAAAAGTCGTCAAAATTGACCAAAATGGTAAGGGATAAGCCTTACCATTTTGGTCAATTTTGACGACTTGTTCAACTTTTCAAAAACTGTCTCAAAATGCTCTAGAATGAAAGATATTAGTCTTAGGAAGCTATTTTTAGCATTTTAAGACACTTTTTGGAAAGTTCAAAAAGTCGTCAAAATTGACCAAAATGGTAAGGGGTAAGCCTTACCATTTTGGTCAATTTTGACAACTTGTTCAACTTTTCAAAAACTGTCTCAAAATGCTCTAGAATGAAAGATATTAGTCTTAGGAAGCCATTTTTAGCATTTTAAGACAGTTTTTGAAAAGTTCAAAAAGTCGTCAAAATTGACCAAAATGGTAAGGGGTAAGCCTTACCATTTTGGTCAATTTTGACGACTTGTTCAACTTTTAAAAAACTGTCTCAAAACGCTCTAAAATGAAAGATATTAGTCTTAGGAAGCCATTTTTAGCATTTTAAGACACTTTTTGGAAAGTTCAAAAAGTCGTCAAAATTGACCAAAATGGTAAGGGGTAAGCCTTACCATTTTGGTCAATTTTGACGACTTGTTCAACTTTTCAAAAACTGTCTCAAAACGCTCTAAAATGAAAGATATTAGTCTTAGGAAGCCATTTTTAGCATTTTAAGACAAATTTTGAAAAGTTCAAAAAGTCGTCAAAATTGACCAAAATGGTAAGGGATAAGCCTTACCATTTTGGTCAATTTTGACGACTTGTTCAACTTTTCAAAAACTGTCTCAAAATGCTCTAGAATGAAAGATATTAGTCTTAGGAAGCTATTTTTAGCATTTTAAGACACTTTTTGGAAAGTTCAAAAAGTCGTCAAAATTGACCAAAATGGTAAGGGGTAAGCCTTACCATTTTGGTCAATTTTGACAACTTGTTCAACTTTTCAAAAACTGTCTCAAAATGCTCTAGAATGAAAGATATTAGTCTTAGGAAGCCATTTTTAGCATTTTAAGACAGTTTTTGAAAAGTTCAAAAAGTCGTCAAAATTGACCAAAATGGTAAGGGGTAAGCCTTACCATTTTGGTCAATTTTGACGACTTGTTCAACTTTTAAAAACTGTCTCAAAACGCTCTAAAATGAAAGATATTAGTCTTAGGAAGCCATTTTTAGCATTTTAAGACACTTTTTGGAAAGTTCAAAAAGTCGTCAAAATTGACCAAAATGGTAAGGGGTAAGCCTTACCATTTTGGTCAATTTTGACGACTTGTTCAACTTTTCAAAAACTGTCTCAAAACGCTCTAAAATGAAAGATATTAGTCTTAGGAAGCCATTTTTAGCATTTTAAGACAGTTTTTGAAAAGTTCAAAAAGTCGTCAAAATTGACCAAAATGGTAAGGGGTAAGCCTTACCATTTTGGTCAATTTTGACGACTTGTTCAACTTTTCAAAAACTGTCTCAAAATGCTCTAGATGAAAGATATTAGTCTTAGGAAGCCATTTTTAGCATTTTAAGACACTTTTTGGAAAGTTCAAAAAGTCGTCAAAATTGACCAAAATGGTAAGGGGTAAGCCTTACCATTTTGGTCAATTTTGACGACTTGTTCAACTTTTCAAAAACTGTCTCAAAATGCTCTAAAATGAAAGATATTAGTCTTAGGAAGCCATTTTTAGCATTTTAAGACAGTTTTGAACAGTTCAAAAAGTCGTCAAAATTGACCAAAATGGTAAGGGGTAAGCCTTCCATTTTGGTCAATTTTGACGACTTGTTAAACTTTTCAAAAACTGTCTCAAAATGCTCTAAAATGAAAGATATTAGTCTTAGGAAGCCATTTTTAGCATTTTAAGACAGTTTTTGAAAAGTTCAAAAAGTCGTCAAAATTGACCAAAATGGTAAGGGGTAAGCCTTACCATTTTGGTCAATTTTGACGACTTGTTCAACTTTTCAAAAACTGTCTCAAAATGCTCTAGAATGAAAGATATTAGTCTTAGGAAGCCATTTTTAGCATTTTAAGACAGTTTTTGAAAAGTTCAAAAAGTCGTCAAAATTGACCAAAATGGTAAGGGGTAAGCCTTACCATTTTGGTCAATTTTGACGACTTGTTCAACGTTTCAAAAACTGTCTCAAAATGCTCTAGAATGAAAGATATTAGTCTTAGGAAGCCATTTTTAGCATTTTAAGACAGTTTTTGAAAAGTTCAAAAAGTCGTCAAAATCGCCCAAAATGGTAAGGGGTAAGCCTTACCATTTTTGTCAATTTTGACGACTTGTTCAACTTTTCAAAAACCGTCTCAAAACGCTCTAAAATGAAAGATATTAGTCTTAGGAAGCCATTTTTAGCATTTTAAGACAGTTTTTGAAAAGTTCAAAAAGTCGTCAAAATTGACCAAAATGGTAAGGGGTAAGCCTTACCATTTTGGTCAATTTTGACGACTTGTTCAACTTTTCAAAAACTGTCTCAAAACGCTCTAAAATGAAAGATATTAGTCTTAGGAAGCCATTTTTAGCATTTTAAGACAGGATTCGACCAACAATGTAGCGAGTTATGTTATCTGTTCACTTTTTTACACTCTCTTGGGCCCTGTGTGTGGCTTGCCACAGGTAGCCCAAGCCAGACACAATTAGCCCAAGACAAAACACTCAGCAAAGAAATCTAAGAGAATTTTAAAAAAGTGAAAAAATATAAATTTTTTCAGTCTCGATCAAATCACCCTGTCAAATTTTCGTGAAAAATGAAAGTAAGTATAGATAAGGGTTTTTTAAAAGCGGGAAATTTTAAAATTTTTTTCGAAGTTTTTTCCCCGACTTAATTTAAATTTTCAGCATCCAATATCGAAAATTTTCAGGCTATAATCGTCGTTTTTTGTATTGCCAGGACTTGAAACGGTTTCCTTTGCTTGAGAGAACGAGGTCTTAACCACTAGACCACCACATCATTTGTCAAAAGCTATTGTTCTTAGTTTATTTGCCGTAATCCATTTCGAAGAATTTTAGTTTAATGGTAATTTCGGTGGGAAAAATCGATCCTTTCTCATTCGGGATTCGCGGGAACTTACGCTTACAACCTGGTAAGCCGTAGCCTTAACCACTGCAGTCATGGGCCACCGGATCGTATGTTGATACCAGCCTTACAAATTATATATATTATCGCGTTCAAAAGTACTTACAAAAAAATCGCGTAAAAAAAAGTCAAAAGTCAAAAAAAATAAAATAATAATCATGAATAAAAAAGCTTGATGGGGATGAAGCAGAAACACCCACTATTTGATTCTATCAGTTTCTTGCGAAATTACTTGCTTGGTAACGCAAGACCATATATTGCCATATTAACCCTCTAATATACAACAATTTTACATAATTTATAAGGAAAGCTACTGATACATGTGTTAGCTAACGTCTGTTCACACGATCCAATTTTGTTGGATCCAATTCACTTCTGACGGATGTTTTATAGTCTGTTGTCTTGTAATGTATATGAGCAGCAAATCCACTGAGGCCAATGCACTACAGATTTATCAATAACCGATTATATTTCATACGTCAGAAGTGAATTGAATGAGAAGAGACCTTTAAGGATGTCTAGATTACAAGATGTGTTATAAAATTGAAGTATTTTCATTAATTTCAAATTTCACGGGTGATCAAATTCATCAAAAATAGGAATGGATATCGCTGGGTTTACAGCAGAATACAGCTGCTGCTTCGTCTTCTGGTTGAACGACTGGATGTAATGGCCGGACGTGAAATCTGACGAGAAAGCTCCGCCATTGGCTGATCATAGTTAGTACGACGCCAAACTGGCTTGTACAACATAATCTTTGCAACCTGGACATTCCGTCCCGCCATCATGACGCTAGACGTGGCAACCATTGTTGTCTTCGCCGACGACAGCTCAACAAACTCGTTTGACGATCCTTGAAGATCACTCACTTGGAAAATACACTTCCCCTCGAGTGCATCTGGCGACACTATTTTGCAAAGGTCGACCAGATGTCTCACCATTGTGTCGTCCAATGCATAGTAATTCTGGTAGTTTGTGAATTCTCGAGGCAACTCGTCCAGCTGTAAAACCTTTACAAGAGAAAGATATGTCGCACGCATTCCGATTTTTGTTACTGAAATATGTTTAGATATATTATTGCTACCAGAGGAAGCCTAAATGACTAGTCGGTAACTAGAGGAAGGAACCCGGCTAAACTAAGCTTAGCTTAATTTATACTGGATAACTTCATTTCAAACTAACTTATCCATATTGGATAGCTCTGTCATTTCCCATATCTCGATTGTAAATGAGTTGAACATATACGTAACTTGTTGAGTTTGTTCATGTCAAAAGGTTACTTAAGGCAGCTTAATGTATATTCCTGGAAGTATATGGTGAAATCCAGGAGATGCGATTTAATAGTGAAACTGAAACACAGTGCTTTCGTTTTCCTCATGCAAGTTTCAATATGATAAACCTGGCAAGATAAACGGATTATTCTAGTCATTCCGGATCAATTTCTGGATCTGACAAACTAGAGGCATGCAGTTTTAAAAAGTCTAGCCTTTAGATTCTAAAACAAAAATATATATGAATGAAACGAGGTTTATTGGTAAGAGAATTTATATGATGAGATATGATATCGCTTAAGACGCTTATTCCACCATATAGTCAAACTATATATACGTATGCTGTATATACGTGCAAAAAATTATGAAAAGCTGGGCCTATGTAGTGGGAGTAATCTTATAATATTTGAGATGCACGATGAGCAAGCTATTTGAAAACTTGAAAGATGGACAACGGCATTCTAAGATGGGTTTTCATTAATTTTAATGATTTTTTGATAAATATCCCAAAATAAGTATCCATGTGTACATAAAAAATTAAGTATATATAGTCTAGACAGCATACGATATATAGTTGGACTAACTATAATTTTAAAACAACGGAAAACACAGTCAAGATTTGGTGTTTTAGTATCTTGCCTTCTCTAAATGACCGTCTACGCAGACTATATATATAAACAGATGGTGTTCGAACGTGTGTGCATTGATATCCAATGAGGTATCACAATTAAAATAACTGTGTATGCGATATTTACGATGAAATATCACAGTGCTATCTTCGAGGAATTAAAGCCTAGGTAACTGCCTGAATTTCCTTACTTCTTGGAAGGGAAATTGATGAAAGTAATTCTACGTACCGTCGCCATGCAATTCAAATAATACATCAATTTCGCCTTTGGGTTATTCGGAACTGTCACATTTGTTCCAGTCACTTTCATTCCAAGTTGGTTGCGTTGGAACGCCAGAGCCATATCGGTAAAAATATCGCGTAGAGAGAAATAGTCGATCCACTCCTGAAGGCTTAGAGATCGAAATTGGCAAATTTTTCACATTTTCAGATGTAAATATTGCGTGCCAAAGTGGGCGTGTAGGAACCTTCGACCTACGGAGATTTTCATTCAACAAGACAATGGATTATCTATATCAATATATCAACTTTGCATGGAATGATTGCTGATCAAAACTACGACATTAAAGCTCAGACGAGGCTGGTAATTTGCTTAGGTAGAGAATGCATGAGCTAGTTTGATCAGTTGGCATTTTTTATCGAGGGTTTATACCAGTGCTGCATGCTTATATAGCCTTCACCAAAGAACTAGTGCGTTTTTTGCAGAATGTTTTTGATTGCATAAGACACAACTGCAAGCATTCTCGTCTCGAATTCATTTAGTGAAGCAAAATTTGATGTCTGCAAATTAACACTAAACACCTGATGCTTTCGTGGTATTTTAGCTTTGCTGTTGTCAAGCGGCAACAAAAGACTTTTGAAAGTTGAACAGTTGAACTTTAGCGAGGTGGTCGCTATGTTGTATGAGATCACGTACGACCGTGATCAGACTGCCATCAAAGATCGTATATCGTAGGGCTAAAATCGCTAAAAGAAAACAGCACGTTATCCAACAGATTAAAAAGCAAACTCTCCCTTCCAAGGGTAAACAATACACGTATTTTTTCAATGGTTAACTATATCCCGCTGTGCAATGACATCTCACCACAAAACAGATGATAACGAACTCTCAAGTGAAACCAAACCCATTAAGCTGGAAATCAAACCTAAAGCACAGTGCTAGCTCTCCTTGTTTCTCTTATAGCTTATACGAGATAATAGCTTGCAATATCTTGTTGGCACAACGGAGTTTAGGAAGTGAAAGTTTAGTTTAGTGATGCAAATTCCTGGAACGCGAATAGTGCAATTCCTAGTAATGAGTTTCCTCGAAAAAAAATAACAGTTCTCACAGGGACCGCGGAGCAGGGTGGCTCGCTGGGGTTTAGCCCCACCAATAATTTTTCCGTAATTAGTCTTTAATTTTGAATATTTTTTAGTCAGCTCAAATTTACAAGCTAAAATTTACAAGCAATACAAGCGCCAAACATGCTGGAAACCGGCTTTACATTGGACAAGCATTTGACCATTAAAACAGCGTGGTTATCCATTTCAAAATATTTGACATCATAACCAAAGCATGGTTATATTGTTTAATGTTTGTATATGAGCGCCAAACATGCTGGAAACTTTACATTGCACAAGCACTTGACCATTAAAACAGCGTGGTTATCCATGTCAAAATATTTGACATCATATAACCAAAGCATGCATAGTTATATTGTTTAATGTTTTATATGAGCGCCAAACACGCTGGAAACTTTACATAGGACAAGCATTTGACCATTAAAACAGCGTGGTTATCCATGTCAAAATATTTCACATCATAACCAAAGCATGGTTATATTGTTTAATGTTTGTATATGAGCGCCAAACATGCTGGAAACTTTACATAGGACAAGCATTTGACCATTAAAACAGCGTGGTTATCCATGTCAAAATATTTGACATCATAACCAAAGCATGGTTATATTGTTTAATGTTTGTATATGAGCGCCAAACACGCTGGAAACTTTACATAGGACAAGCATTTGACCATTAAAACAGCGTGGTTATCCATGTCAAAATATTTCACATCATAACCAAAGCATGGTTATATTGTTTAATGTTTGTATATGAGCACCAAACATGCTGGAAACTTTACATAGGACAAGCATTTGACCATTAAAACAGCGTGGTTATCCATGTCAAAATATTTGACATCATAACCAAAGCATGGTTATATTGTTTAATGTTTGTATATGAGCGCCAAACACGCTGGAAACTTTCATAGGACAAGCATTTGACCATAAAACAGCGTGGTTATCCATGTCAAAATATTTCACATCATAACCAAAGCATGGTTATATTGTTTAATGTTTGTATATGAGCGCCAAACATGCTGGAAACTTTACATAGGACAAGCATTTGACCATTAAAACAGCGTGGTTATCCATGTCAAAATATTTGACATCATAACCAAAGCATGGTTATATTGTTTAATGTTTGTTATGAGCGCCAAACATGCTGGAAACTTTACATAGTATGTATTATTTTCCAATAATCCTTTGAGAGGCATTTGCGGCGATTTCAGAGGCCTATGTATATTTCAAAATTTTCCCGGACTCTCCTAGCAGGCGCGCTGTTCCGAGCCCCAGCAATACGAAAAACGCTCCGCGGTCCCTGTCTCAGAATGTTTCAATTGAAAAGTAGCTATATTTATAAAGATGAAAACACTCTCAGTGACCCACTGATCATTCGCGCGTGGCCTGCTGATTTGCGGCAGCAATTCCACTCCAAAAAACCCACCTCACATTCTTTTGTTTCCGCCAACCAACACCGAATATATACCCAGGAAACCCCTCAATTGCAACAAACCGCACACTTCGTATCCATATAACACCCTCTTGACCACCGAGGTAACCCTCTGATCCCAACCAAAATCCAGCCGTGATTTTTTACCTAATTTTTACCTAATTTTTTACCTGAAGGCAACAATAAAGTTATACTCATTAGGTCAGACGTAACTAAACACGATTTTGCTAACGTAATAATCAATTTCAAATCTCATCGCTACAGCACTATATTACAATCTACTGCGTAATTCACTTTTATAGAGAAGCCCAAACTAACGCTCAAACTGATTACAACCAGGGGCCAGTTGTATAAAAAGTTATAGTTAAGTTTTACCTGTGGTTAGTGACAGAATTGGCCAATCAGAGTCGTGCTGAGTTAACTCTAGGATTTAACTATGAAAAATGTTGTTCAAAAGTTTTATACGACCGGTCCCTGAGTTTAAACAACCAAGTCAGATTGCAATTCAACCTAAATCCTATTGTCTTAATCCCTTATCTAAGTTATCTTGCCTGCTTTATTCTTTGGTTGCAATTGTTTCATCTCAGATGATTGAACGACGACACAAACCAAATGAGATGATGAAACGCAACTTTTTGATGATAAATACTCAACGCTTAGCAGTATTTACCTGTAAACTTTTTCTCTACAACTCCGAAGAGAGTTTTCTTTAAATCTATTTCACAATCTGGTTTAATTTACCACCGTTAACAGTGAATAATGGTTCAAAATAAACCTTCTCAACTGAAAAGCAAATAAACTGACTTATTCATCGCCATTGGCCTCGTCAGCAGACGTTTTATACAGCAAGCCCTGCGGCTCAGTCGTATTGACAATTTTCTCCTGTCCTCCGTTGTCAATCTTTGCCCGCTGTCGCCTACCTTTTTGAAGAATCAGCAAAAATACGACCATTGTTACACCAAGTATGCACACGCCAGCTGCCAGGGACACAATGGAAATAAAAATGGCTTTTTTCAGACCAACAATTTTCTCAGTTTTCGAATCATCCGTAGCTGAAACTGTGGAGAGTACAAATAAAAAGATTTCGTCAACGATTTCATAGCAATTTGGGAATTATGTTACAAAACGCAGGGTTAATGATTTAAACCTCGCCTAAGCTCAGTTAGGAATGGCATTATAATAGAAAGAGATATAGGGGCGGATTCAGCACTTTGGCTGCGTATACCATTTTCAGTATACTCGACCATAATCGAATATACCATTTCAGTCCGGAATTCTGTGTTTTGTCAGGTACACTTATTTAGCCATATTTTATCTGACCTGGTTCACGTATTTCTAGAGTCATGTTTCTCATGTCTCCATTTTTAATTGCTTCTTTCAACGGTTCAAAAGGTTCTTTTAGATCTTCTTTGAACAGAACCTCCAATTCAGCCAAAACGCTCCCCTTTCTAAATTGTAAAGCCAGATTTAAAGCGTTACTAACGACAGTGGCGCATGCAATTTCAAAAAAGCGAAGCTGTTTGCAGTAAAAATATCAATAAATACCTGAATTTGTTGATGAGCGCATAGACGAATTCAGGATGGTTCTCGTATATTTTCCTGATCTAAAAAAGCAGGAGAGAATTTAAGAAGCGTCATGAACCCAGGGTCAACATCACAAAATGCGTTCCTACTTTTTTAGTCAATCGAGATTCCAGTGTTTTGTAAACGTCAGACGACTTGTCTTTCAGCTCATCAGTCCATTTTTCTTTTCTCAAAACCAATGTAGTCTTTTTGGACACGACATCTGTACAAAATGATTTAAAAGTTAATTAAAAATTTCTTATTGATCCAGTGTTACTACAGGAGGAAACCTAAACTAAACTAACTTTATTTATACTAGATAGCTCTATCAGTTCTAAACTGTTCTTCCTAGAGGTCCAGTAAGGATCATCTCTTATTGATCCAGTGTTACTACAGGAGGAAACCTAAACTAAACTAACTTTATTTATACTGGATAGTTCTATCAGTTCTAAATTGTTCTTCCTAGAATAAGGAATATCCCTTAAAATAACTTGGATTTACTTGAGCTTTTATTTCGCGCACAATCCTTTCCATCACCAATAAAATACGGAGGCGGACATTCTTCACAACTGTAATTACCATTGGGAACTTCCACGCAATTCAAGCCGCGAAAACAAGGAAAAAGATCGCAAGGATTGCTCAGGACACAAGTGGAAATACCATCGCCATCATGGTCGCGCGGACACTGACAGGAGAATGATCCTGGAGTGTTTATACAGGTCGCCAGATGATGACAAATTGTCTTGCTTTGAACGCATTCGTCAATATCTAGGCAATGATTCAAGATATTCGACTATTCCAGGTGAGCTGGTTATAAGAAAAAAAAATCTAAAACCACAGCTTGAAGAGTGTCTTAAATGAGTAGGAAGCCATCCTTCTAAGACCTCAGTCTTGCTAGCTGTGGTTTTTGATCTTGTTCTTTTCCCATGTAAATCAAGATTTAGCCATTTTTAGACGCCCTCTCGATCATATTTACCTTCGCAGTTGTCCTCACCACCTTCGTGATAACCCGGGTCACATACTCTCACACACGTGTACGATCCTTCGGTGTTTTTACACTGCTCATAATCCTTACAAGTACCGTTCGTAGCACATTCGTCTATATCTATCAATAGAGAATCGTCGATTATAAAAAAACACTGCAAAACCACAGACAAGCGGAGAGGTTTGTACCTGTGCAGTTGTGTTTTCCATCTCCAGTGAACCCGCTTGGGCAACGGCATAAATAAGATCCGATTGTGTTATTACATTCGCTAAGACATGGCGCAGGGGTCTGGGCGCATTCGTCTATATCTTTACGGAAAAGAGAAGATGTACCCATATATCACTAAACGTCATCACTATATATGTGCCTATACGTCATTATATGTATCAACACATCATTATATGTACCTATATATCATTATATGTACCAACACATCATTATATGTACCAACACATCATTGTGTACCTATATATCATTATATGTACCAACACATTATTATATGTACCTATATACCATTATATGTACCAATATATCTCCATAGTCTCTATGTACCTGAACAATTGTGATGTCCGTCTCCAGAAAGACCTGGTTCGCACAAGCACTTGTATGAACCATTCGTATTAATACATTGCGCACGCTCGTGACAAGGTGATCTTGTACATTCATCTATGTCTGCAGTTAAGATAATAAATACGCGTTACAATCGACTCCGGAAAAAAAACAAACCGTATTTTTGACGCCTAATCAGATATATCAGTATACCTGCACAGTTCTGAGATCCATTGCCGGAAAAGCCTGTCTTGCAAACACAATCAAATGATTCGCCATTTTCACTGCAGTACGCATTTGAATGGCATTTCTTGTTCGCCATTTTACAACCATCCATGGGGGTAAATGCTAGAACAATGGAAAGAATCGAGTTGTATACAGCCTTGAATTACCTTGCCATTGTGGACGAAACATTCAAGTTCTTATACGCGTGGTGACACAAATGGAAGCGCATGTTTATATGGTTTATAGATTTGATCTTATATGAAAAAGAAGCACGTCACTCACTTGTGCTCAATGTCACATTTGTCGACATTTTCTTGTTAAATAATGGCATAATCCCATCTGGTACGATCTTGTAATTACTGCTCGACTTTCCGAACGATGCATAAACTTCTTTAATGAAATTTATTTCATTATTCTGATATTCCCAAATAAAATCTTCGATTTCAATGGTTTTATTTAAGCGACTGCTTTTCTCCCCGATGTACAAAACGTTGTAGTTTATATTTGAATCGGATTTTCTTGACACACCGATCTCATCAACGTTCAGCGAAAGTGTTTTTTCATCTCTTCGAAAGCTTACGAAGTGCCATTTGTTGTCAGTAACTGTCACATTAGAGTTCAAACTATTGCCACCTAGGAAACATAAAAACGATCCATTATCTTGACAACGCAGAAATCTTTCCTCAAATGAACTAAGAACAGCAGAATTTCCAAACCAACGTAAATGTTATGTTGTTTTAATTTCATGTGCAAGTTAAGGCATTACTACCTGAAGTTACAACGAATCTGGAATCTTTTATTTCCATCTTCAGCGAATCCGACCTTCCTTCTTCAACGTCTGCAGCAAGAATAATGGCGTTTTCTTGAGATGTTCTGATTCTTAATGAGAATCGTTGTTGCTTCCCACTCATGGAAACCTGTGGTTTGTACGCTATTTTATAGGAGCCGTTTAGAATAAGACGCAAGGCATCTGTAAAGTGAAATGGTTCTATAATTAGTTCATTCCTAGTGCGGCCATATTTACGGAAGGCATTGTCACTCAGGAAGGATTATCTATCTGCCCGCCACTAAAAGCAATGTCTCCTGGTTTGTCCACCTTCATGAAACATGGCTAGGAAACAATGTTTCCTGGTTTGTCCACCTTCATGAAACATGGCTAGGAAACAATGTTCCCTTGTTTGTCGACCTTCATTAAATATGGCTAGGAAACAATGTCTCCTGGTTTTTCGACCTTCATGAAACATGGCTAGAAAACAATGTTTCCTGGTTTATCATATTTTGATTCTTACCTTCGGTGCACGTGGGTCCCTCATAACCAGTCCATCTGCAGTCACACGTTGCAGATCCCTTACCGTCAGGTTTGCAAACACCTTTGTTGTCACAATTTCCATGAAGATTATCCACCCGCGGCATATCACACACCGTCAGCGTGCAGTTTCCTTCGGTGACAAAAAATCGTTGGCTTGGAATATCGCTAATTGGTAGCAAATTGGCCTCGCTTGAATTACCATATTTAATTTTCCGCACGCATCCAAAAAAATATCCTCTAAAATTTACAATATTTCATGAAAACACTTCTACATTCTATAACCTTGTTTAACGAATAGTCTTGTCGGGAGAGTAAACTCCTATTTCTACAATTCTACTTTGTACTGATATGGGATAGCGCCTCAGATTTGAACCGCTCTTTACGTGAAAGATACAGTTAAGATCATCATCAGACATCAGTTGTTCCCATATAAAGAAAAAATGTATGCTAACTGGCCTTTCGAGACAGTGAGAAAGGATAATCTCTTATTGATCTATCTTTATCAGCTCTAAACTGTTCTTCCCAGAGGTCCAGTAAGGATCATCTCTTATTGATCCAGTGTTACTACACGAGGAAACCTGAACTAGACTAACTTTATTTATACTGGATAGCTCTATCAGTTCTAAACTGTTCTTCCTAGAGGTCCAGTAAGGATAATCTTTTATTGATCCAGTGTTACTACAGGAGGAAACCTAAACTAAACTAACTTTATTTATACTGAATAGCTCTATCAGTTCTAAACTGTTCTTCCTAGAGGTCCAGTAAGGATCATCTCTTATTGATCCAGTGTTACTACAGGAGGAAACCTAAACTAAACTAACTTTATTTATACTGGATAGCTCTATCAGTTCTAAACTGTTCTTCCTAGAGGTCCAGTAAGGATCATCTCTTATTGATCCAGTGTTACTACAGAAGACAAACGTCAAACTTGACGTTTTCCTTTATGATACGACTACAAACATAAAGTTTACCTTTTGGAAGTGTCCCCCGAACTAGTAAAGTAAATTTTAAAAACATCGAAGTCTGATAGAGAGTCGCGTTCCCTCTTCGCAAGTCCCCCTAAGTGCATATGACTTGTAAGATTTGGTGGACCTATCGATAGCACTTTCATCAACTTTCCATCTATGATCAACTTGAAATGAGTTGTATTCCATTGAATTCTTATTTTGTGCCACTTCAAATCATTATACAGCATTTCCGTTACGAAGGAAGGTGGTTGAACGCTGCCCACTCCAAGTGTCAATTCGATCTTTCCCCCACTGATTGTTATCCTGGAAGACAAAGTATTGAACATAATTGTATCGGTTTTTTGAAGTCCGTGCAATTGTACTCAAACACGCAACTACAGTAAAATAATTGACCACGAAACTGGCGAGTGTATGTGCACATAATAGGAGCAATGACGAGAAAAACTACATGAAAATCACAATTTTTTGACCCAGAAAAGAAGATATCTTCTTGTTTTCCTTCAAAGAACGTCAATTCGCTTTTATAAACAAACTCAGACTGCTATATGCATTCAGGTAAAATGTACATTCGCTTTCATTTCGATTCCTTCCTAAAGTTTCACTGATACAACACCACGGACTTTTAGTACATTTTCTCCTGAATATTCGACTGTAAATACGACTCAGGCGATGACACAGTGTTTAGCAATCAAAGAAGCAAGCCAGGGTCATGAACCTCGTCGTCAAAACCCCCATCTGTTAGGGTGCATCTGGCTGCAATCACACGCTTCTTATCAATAAAGGCCGATCAAAAATACAAAATGTTTCGGGTAATAGGTTCACTATTAACTTCAGAAATGAGCCAGTTCAAAAGCAGAACAAATTTAAGTGGATTTTACAAAATATCTGCGTTAAATCCTCCATTGAAAACGAAGATAAAGACTTTGATCTAGCCATGCAAAAAAAGCATGCACGATAAAAGAATTCACTGCATCATGCTTCGATGCATTTGCACTCACTTTCATATTATACAGTGCATTTGTCCACATGGACTATCAAAATTCTAGCAATGAGCTAAAACGTTTATAGTTTTACGCCTAAGTATGCCTGCGGGTCTAATAATTTCAGCGATAAGGCGGGAAAATGAACATAGACTAAACATCGAATACGTACAACCAAGTTCAACATCGTGCGTATCAACACAGCATAGTCACTTAGCATTTTCTATAAACTTTCATCCGAGCTAACCCATTTTACCCGAACAAAAGCAGTGGTAAAATTTTGCTGAGGTCAAAATCATTTTATGATGTTTGTACCTCAACAGCTTCCAAGTTGTTTCGGATTTTCCCAAAAGACTAAAGATTATTGGAATAAAAACCCTCGGATACAATATCGAAAGATTTCGTACAGACCTAAGGTAGTCGTTAATCCCTTGATCGTCTTGATAAAGCAACAACGCGTGTTCCACAAAAGTTTTAAATTCAAATTCAAAAATTCCCGTCACCAAGGTTTCTTTAAATGACATCGTAGGACCTGGTAAATCGATGCTCTTTTTGAAAAACGTGAACATGTTTTGCTTGTGATCTGCAGGCAAACAAAACGAGTGTTTCGTTGCAGATATGAGAAAGACCAGCCACTGGAGAAGAAAGAGGTTTCCCATGTTTTTTTTTGCAGCTAACACGCCATAGTTCATGAAATAAGAACGAATGTTCACACAGGTTTATCTATGGTTTGCGGTGTCGGCTTTTTAATATTTTAAAGTTTGTTGTAGGGCAGCTGTTTTGAGACAAAACACTTCATTTGGGGACATTAATTAAACATGGCGAATTTGTTTTTTGCTTGCTGCATTAGAAGTGCATGAAAATCAATCATAGACTGTACTCGATTGTACGCTTAAAGATATTGTTTTTGCGAGGCATGAAGTCAAATATCATCAACCAGGGGGGGGTTGGGGTAAATGTGAGGACTTTGTCCGTTTTACCGCAATAACTAGACACTATCAGTCAGGATAATTAATGGTTACGCGTGTTGATTTCCGTGTGTTGTTTAACTATGGACAAAGCCAAACATTGATAAAGTATTGTAGTTTTATTAAAACAAAAATGCTTACAATTTATCGTGTTAGAAGTTGATACAAATTTGTAACCAGTAACTTGAATGTCAATTTTTTTTAAACTATGCACCTAAAGAACTCATGTTTTTGGGGCAACTACATTCCAATTATTTGTTCTCTATAATATGGTCACTTTAATATGAAGAAAAATAAATATCTAGCTTCTAAGGGACAAGTGTAAAATATTCGGCGAGTTTCTACAACTATGTATAGTTAAAATCAGTGCTTTCAGCATATTATATCCACAGCGAGAACTGCGATGGAAGTATTCTGTGAAAGAAAATCAGAAAGTCGATAAGGCGTTTTTTCTACGTTTGATTTCCTATAGAAGGGTCTTTACCAGTCGATTCCATACCTCAGTCATCACCTCCCGTCTCCTGTTTCGTTATCGTCACTTCAGCAACTTTGACATTCGGGTCTTGTTTCCGCGCGTCTTCTAAAGCTTTCATAATAGCCTGGGGAAGAAGGAAATGCTTGTATCTATATAATGCTTTATCTTTTCATGATAGGAATCCAGTTCTTAGAAACTGATAAGAATCCAGTTTAGTTATATAGTCCTTATTCTTAGAAACTGATAAGAATCCAGTATAGTTATACAGTCCTTATTCTTAGAAACTGATAAGAATCCAGTTTAGTTATATAGTAATTATTCTTAGAAACTGATAAGAATCCAGTTTAGTTATACAGTCCTTATTCTTAGGAACTGACAAGAATCCAGTTTAGTTATACAGTCCTTATTCTTAGAAACTGACAAGAATCCAGTTTAGTTATACAGTCCTTATTCTTAGAAACTGACAAGAATCCAGTTTAGTTATATAGTCCTTATTCTAAGGAACTGATAAGAATCCAGTTTAGTTATATAGTCCTTATTCTTAGGAACTGATAAGAATCCAGTTTAGTTATATAGTCCTTATTCTTAGAAACTGATAAGAATCCAGTTTAGTTATATAGTCCTTATTCTTAGAAACTGATAAGAATCCAGTATAGTTATATAGTCCTTATTCTTAGGAACTGATAAGAATCCAGTTTAGTTATATAGTCCTTATTCTAAGGAACTGATAAGAATCCAGTTTAGTTATATAGTCCTTATTCTTAGGAACTGATAAGAATCCAGTTTAGTTATATAGTCCTTATTCTTAGAAACTGATAAGAATCCAGTTTAGTTATATAGTCCTTATTCTTAGAAACTGATAAGAATCCAGTATAGTTATATAGTCCTTATTCTTAGGAACTGATAAGAATCCAGTTTAGTTATATAGTCCTTATTCTAAGGAACTGATAAGAATCCAGTTTAGTTATATAGTCCTTATTCTTAGGAACTGATAAAATTTAGTTTAGTTATATTATAGTCCTTGTTCTTAGGAAGTGCATTCCTATTTGGGCCTGGGGGCGAATATAAAACTAAAACACTCAATTCACTGAAGGATTGTGTAAGAAATCATACTAACAGCATCTGCATCAGGATCGCCAGTTTCCACGATGAAAGATTGTCCCGACTGGACAAACTGCTTGCTCGTCACAACTTGTTCCACTTTTTGCACTCGTTCCACACGTTGATAACTGCTGTTTCCCACAGTCTGGATTGGAAACGTTGGTAGTAAAGACGTGGTGTAAGACAAATAAACAGATGAACTAGTTTCATACCTTTGTTTCAGATCCAGACATGTTCATAATCTCAGCAAGTTCTTCAGCGGTCAGCGGTTCACCATCGCCTTCGATAGTGATCGTCTTCGTGACAACTTCGGCAGGTGTCGAGGTGTGACGTACCACGTGAGTAGTCTTGGTCGTTTGGGAGACTGGGGTCGTATCGATCTTTAGTCTTCTTGTAACCACCACAGGGTCACCTAGACGATACACAAACTTTATATATTTTGACCAGCGTTTTATTACACAAATATATATCAAAACACAGGCACTTTGAATAAGCCTTGAATCCAGTCTCTCCGCGCTCTCTACCAGAGGAAAGCCTGGACACTGAATCGCCCTTGAGATCTGATCTAGCTGACCATAGAAAAAAATCAGAAATCACCCACCTTGTGTTGGATATGGAGACATACCACTTGCCGCATTCGGTTCATAAATAACTGTCCTTGTTTCAACGTTTGGAAAATCAGGTGCGGGCGAGCTCGCTTCTAGGGGAGGGGGAGGGGGGAATACGTCATCGGGGATCGACTCGACCGTGGTGACTGTTGACGACTGAAGCATTTTATCCAAAGATGTCTGGATGCTTGGGTCATGCGTAGAGCGACGTTTGATTTCGGTTTCTTGATTTCGTATTTGATCGCGGACGAAACCTCGTTCACCTTGTTCGTAGTCCAGGTTCAGGTCACTAGAAGCGAGAGATTGCTTGCGATTGGTACATAAGGCAAATGTCATAAGGCAAATGTCATGGCGTAACTCAGTTACGCTTGAGATCAGTTCGTGAACTGATCTCACACAAAAACTGGATTGATTTATCAAACTGAACCCAGTTACTGAATCTGGATCACCACCAACATATATATACTTTAGTGCAAGTTAGCGTCTATCACATACTGGATGGATCTATCCTGGATGTTGATAGATCCATTCAGTACGAGTATAGATCAGTCCAAGAACTGATCTCACAAACATTTCTTACGTTTTCAGAGAATAGCGAATTTCTGGAGTGTTATCTCTGTTGTATCGCACATCATCTTGACAAGCACCTGGGTTCGCATACACGGTACTAAAGAAAGAAATTTTCATGATTTTATTTATTTTGTAGAAAAAACATTGAACATTCGTCAGCACAGGTTAAAAAATATTCCATACTTGGTTGTCTCTTGTACTGTGACTGTCTCGGTAACGTTCGTCGACTCAACGGTTTTAGTCGGATTACCCTCGTCGCTCGCGCTGACTCGTAAGAAGCTCGCTTTTTCAGCGAAGGTGTCTTCCAGGTCAAGCGTTTTACGATGAGCCTTTTTCACGTCTTCGATTTCGGGTGTAGCCACGGCGAACGGCATCATCACCAGCTCTTCTTCAAGCTAAACCACAGTAAAACACATCAAGACATCAACTCATCAAGCCTAGCAATGGAAATATCCCAGACCCTTCACTTGGTACTTCCACAAACCAAACACTTACTTCCTTTTCTTTTTTCTTCTTCTCTTCAATCTCACGTCTTTTCCTCTCCTCTTCCTCCTGTTTCTGTTTCCTTTCCAATTCCAGCGTTTCTTTTTCTAATTGTTCTAATTCCAATCTCTCGCGTTCCAACCGTTCCTCCTCTTCTTGTAATTCCTTCTCTCTCAACAACTCTTCCCGTTTCAACCTTTCCTCTTCAATCCTCCTCTGTTCCTCAATCCTCCTCTGTTCCTCAATCCTCTTCTGTTCCTCAATCCTCCTCTGCTCCTCCTCAATCCTCCTCTGTTCCTCCTCAATCCTCCTCTGTTCCTCTTCAATCCTCCTCAGTTCCTCCTCCTGTCGTCGTTTCTCGGCTTCCTCTTCTATTCTTCGCTGTTCAGCGGCCATGCTGGGTTTGATCACGAACTTGATCCTGGGTTGCAAGAAAACTTGCCGCGAGAATTTCTCCTCCTTGATAGCCTCCTCGTGTACTGGCGTCCCTGGACGAAAAAAACGTTTGGTTACTTTGAATTCCCGCCAAAATATCACCACTTCAGAAACCCACAAAAACCCAAATCTTGCTCTCAAAAGATCCCGCAAAAGACACTCCCTAGTAGGCCTGTATTCATGAGAAAAAAACCCACAAGTTTCTGGTTGATTTCATTTTCTGTATTCATTACGAAACTTTCATTCATTACGAAACTTTCATTCATTACAGTTGATTCTCTAAAATCCCCTCAGAAGAAAATTAGTTTACCTTTGATGGCTTGGTGAGTAATGACGTAAGCCACTGAACCGACGTCTTCATTTTCTTTCACGTGGATAACATTCTCCTCATCACATGATAGCTGACGTAGTTCGTCGTGATCTACTTCGTCGCCTATAGCAACCGTTATTACCTTTACTCCGATCTTTTGAAGAGCCTTCGCACCAGTTTTTAGTTCCCCAGCGCGACCACCGAGCGGTCCGTTCATCATCACGATCAACACCTTATGTGAATTTGCTCGGCTTTCGTTCGTGAACAGTTCGTTGGCCTTTCGCAGCCCTTCGGCCATTGCCGTACCGTCTCCGCTTCGTTGAATGGAGAATATTCTGTCTTTGACTTTCTCCTTGTCGTCAATATCTTTGAAACTATAAAAGTACAAATATTTTTTCACGAAGCCCTTGATAGAGTAGTTAGTTCGTGAAAGACCAGACTTGGTTTAGGGATAACTAACCTGAAATGAACAGTCAACGGGTCAACATATTGTATCATCGCATAATCCAGGTTTCCATATTTGGACGAGTCGATAAAACCGTTGACAAATTCTTTTTCTTTTTCAAACATGTCATCGCCATTATGACCAGATGATCCCAGCGCAAACACCACGTCAACATCACTGACAGGGCGCTCTACACGAGGAATAAATATTTTTAATATTTTTAGATTTCCACAGAGAACTAAACTATCTCAAGAAAAGACAAAGGAGGCTTTGGCCTTTGGATTGATTAAATCCTGATCCAGCTTTTGGATTATTTAAATCCTGATCCAGTTTTCGGATTAACGAAATCCTCACGCAGTTCCAATGCACTCACCTTCAATACTGATTTTCACGATGCTTCCGAACAACACTTTATGATCATCCTCGGGTTGTGTTCTGACGATCGACTCTTCATTTGATGTTACTTCAAGTAGTTCCTCGACGCTGACGTCATCGCCAATGGCGACGACGATTAACTTGGTGTTCATATCAGTCAGGTTTTGAGCATATTTCTTTAACTCATTCGCTCGGGCATTAGACTTGCCGTTTGTGAACACAATAAGAACTTTCTTAGCCGAATGCCGGCCGTGTTTCTTGAACAACTCGTACGATTGTTCCAATGCTTTGTCAAGAGCCTTGCCTAGAAACATTCAGAAAGTTAGTTAGTTTAGGTTTCCTCCTGTAGTAACACTGGATTAATAAGAGATGATCCTTACTGGATCTCTAGGAAGAACAGTTTAGAACTGATAGAGCTATCCAGTATAAATAAAGTTAGTTTGGTTTAGGTTTCCTCCTGTAGTAACACTGGATCAATAAAAGATGATCCTTACTGGACCTTTAGGAAGAACAGTTTAGAACTGATAGAGCTATCCAGTATAAATAAAGTTAGTTTAGTTTAGGTTTCCTCCTGGTTGAATAAGAGATGATCTTTACTGGTCCTATAAGAGATGACTCGTACCTTCTCCACTCCTGTGAATGCTATTCACGAATTCTTTCATCCGTTCCTTGCCATGAATGTCATCAAACTTTGCCTTCACCGAAGCCTTGGTTCCGTACTCCACGACACCGTACCGATAGTCTCCGAACTCAAACGAGTCAATAAACGTTCCGATCATCTCTTTCTCCTTGTTGTGAATCATGTCAGCGGCGTTTCCCATTGCGCCAAATGCAAACACAATATCGAACTTGGGTTTACATGGTTCTACACAAAAATACGCAAATGAAAAGACTTAACCGGAATTGCTTTTAAACATAAAATCATTTTTAAAAATTACTACCTTGAACTTGGCGAGCGACGGCAAAAACAGCTGACTCAGCGTTCTCCTGTGTGTCCACTTTAATGATCGCTTCTTCATCCGGGTTAATATGACGTAATTCCTCCTCATTGACGTCATCGCCAACAGCGACCGTAACGACTTTGACATTAGCGTCCTCCAATAATGTCGCGTATTTTTTAAGGTGGCTCGGATTCGCGCCACTTTTACCGTTGGCGAACAGGATCACTCTCTTCTGAGCATTGTGACGACCCTGGCTTTCAAGAACGTTGACTGTTTGTTCAAGAGCCTGGAGATAATGAAATAAAAACAATTCAGATCCCATCATCTACCTGAACTAGGGCCAGCGAATACTCTTAAAATATAACAAAAAATTCTCCGAAGGACATCTTTTGAAATTAATATTTTCGCTTTAAAACAAGACAACAAATTTACGGTGAAATAGAGTCAAGATATCGCCGTGAACTTTCTATGTTTTGATGCTTAAATTTTGGCTAAAAAATGCTGTTCTTTGAGGAGTATGTTTTATCTCATATATTAGGTTTAAGGATTATTGTTATTAATGGATTAGGATTTAGGATTAGAGATTATTATTAACGATTTATCAAATCAAACCTTATCCAAAGCTTTTCCGTCACCGGTTCGTTCAAGATTCTCAACTTGATCCAACAAGACTGCTTGTTGTTTATTATCCGCAAATCTTGATCGGACTATGGATTTAGGGCCATAGTCGATGAGGCTGTACATCGTGTACGGTACTTTGTTTGCTTCGATGAACTTTGAGATGATTTGCTTGTTTTTGTTGTAAACAGTATCCGCACCTTCACCCGAAGCACCCACAACAATCACAATATCCATTGGTTCAGTCGACTTAGCTACGAAATAAAAGAAGGAATAAGTTCTATTGCCAAAACATTCAAACGATCAATCAGATCTTAATAGGCAAAAGGAAATCCAATTAGGGTCGCAGCTCCTCGCAAGAATGATTTTCATTGGCTGAACTTTACAATACATTTCTGTTTCAACTAATGGCGTAGCTTCGTTCTTTAGAAGGCATAGAAAAGCATTACGGAATTGGACGAAAGCTTCCGAGCAATGCGACATGTCCCGTTTTTTAAAACCTCAAGTAGTTGTGAACAACAACATTTCTAATCATCACTACATGTGGACAGCAGCTAAATAAGACAATATATGATCATTGGATAACATCCATCAAAAGCACTTACCTTCCTCAAGTTCACCCACAATCGAGTAAACAACCGCTCTTGGATTCTGCTCTGGGGCGATGTTAATTATAGGGTGACTACCGCTGGTCACAAACTGACATTCGTCGTCGTCGATGTCGTCGCCAATGGCAACCACGATGATATCAACATTAGTTTTCCTCAACCGTTCAGAGTTTTGTTTCAGTTCCTCCGCCTGCGAAAATAGACAGAAATATTTCAGACAGATTTGGAAGAGCGAAATACGATTTGAATTCACGAGTAATTTTATCCAAGGATTGGGAGACGTTTCACTGAATGACCTCATCATATCCTTGTCACAACTATCCGGTTATAAATCCTAGATCAGTGACATTACCTTAGCTCCGGACTTGCCATTTGTGAAGACGACAAGAACGCGGCGGGAGTTGGGACGAGCTTGATTTTCAAACATGCCTGCCGCGACTTCCAACGCATGATCAAGGCCCGTCGCATCGCCGCTACGACGCACCAGGTTCACGTGACGCTTGAGACGCACGTGATCACGATATTGGCCAATCATAGCGCAGACCTTTGCACGTGGTCCGATCTCAATGACACCAAAGTGCGTGTCGCGTTTTGTGATGGAATCAATAAAATTATCGATGAGTTGTTTCTCTTTCTCGAATATTTCATCAGCACCTTCCCCAAATGAACCAAAAGCAAACACAATGTCGAGATATTCGTCCTGTTTTTCTAAACGGAAGAAAAACCCACCGTTTAGTACTACATAATGATATAAACAAGGTTTTTATAACGAGAATGAAAGTTTAGACATCAATAAACCGTCAAAACTGTACCTCCAACAATCCAGGCAGAATTACTAATCACAGCCTGCGGTTCTTCATACGGCTGCACTCTCAGCAAAGGCAGTTCATTGCTTGTGACTTGAAGTAGTTCATCTTCGTTTACGTCGTTGCCAACGGCAACCACCTGGACTTTGACGCCAGCCTCTGCCAAACTCTGCGCGTGTTTCTTGAGGTCCTGGGCTCTGGCGTTCGACTTGGCGTTTGTGAGGACAATGAGCACGCGGTTTGACGCTGGTCTGGCTTCCTTCTGGAAGATCTAAAAAACCACGAAGTTGTTTAACTCAATAATCACCATCAATACAAGCCAGATATTTCTCAGCATTACCTGCACGGCATGTTCCAAGGCCTTATCAAGACCCTTCCCGTCACCAGACCTCTGTATTCCGGACACGGACGCTTTCAATTTCCCAGCATCCCTTTCGTCGCCAAGTTTAGATTTTACAGAGGCCTTGTGGCCAAACTCGATGACAGCAAACTGAGCATCGTTTTCCTTCAGATTGTCGATGAACGAATTCACAATTTCTTTCTCTTTATCGAAGATTTCATTAGCGTCTCGACCCGCCGCCCCAACGGCGAACACAACATCAAGTTTGATCTTAGGTCCTTCAGTAGCGACTTGAGAAAAAAAGTTAGTTTAGTTTAGGTTTCCTCCTGTAGTAACACTGGATCAATAAGAGATGATCCTTACTGGACCTCTAGGAAGAACAGTTTAGAACTGATAGAGCTATCCAGTATAAATAAAGTTAGTTTAGTTTAGGTTTCCTCCTGTAGTAACACTGGATCCATAAGTAACGATCCTTACTGGACCTCTAGGAAGAACAGTTTATATAAGAATATTAATTATACCTGGTCCCAAGTCAGGTTCAGTTGCAAGAACATTGGAAGCGACGTTCTTTACAATCATATTGACGTCATCATGTGGCTGGGTCCTAACGAGAGGCTCCCCCTGAATATTACTCAACTCTTCCTCGCTGACGTCAGTACCGATGGCGACGACAACGACCTTGACACCAGACTCCTGCAGCTCGCGGGAATGTCTCTGGAGATCTTGCGTGCGTGCCTTTGACTGTGCGTTCGTGAACACGACCAGAACACGCTTGGCGCTAGCTCGACCGCTGTTCTCAAACACCGCAGCTGCCCTTTGCAAAGCCTTATCCAGCCCCAGACCTTCTCCGATTCGTTTCACAGAATCAACGAACTCCTTGAAGTCGTATTTTTCCTTGTATTCATTAAAGTCTGCCTGCAGAGTTGCATTCTCAGCATATTCAATCAGAGCATAGCGGACATTTGCGGTGTCCACGGAGTTTACGAACGCGTAGACCATTTCCTTTTGTTTTTCAAACACCATTTCAGCCTCGAAGCCGGCAGAGCCAAGCGCAAAAATTATGTCGACCGCTTCACCGGTTAGTTCTAAAATGAATGATATGTTTAAATTCATAAAATATACCAAAAAATTGCAAAAATGCTGGATTCCAGGTTAGAAAGAAGCACTTTTCGAAAGGAATAACCTCGTTCCAAGGTCAATATGATAAAGAAATGGATATTTTTTTATCTCAACTCACCAGCGCTAACAACATCATCAGAGATAAGTTGAATGATGGCAGCGCTATCTCCAGTCAACTGGGAATGAATCACGTGCTCATCGCTTGAGATCTCCTTCAGCTGGTCTTCGTCAGTGTTGTTGCCAATAGCGACAGCGACGATCTTCACTCCGACATCTTGGAGCGCCTTTGCGCAGGCGCGCAGCTCGTTCACTCCGACATTTGCTTTCCCGCTGGTGAAAACGACGAGGACTTTCCTCGCGCCACGACGGCCGTTCTTCATGAGTAAGTCGTAAGCGCTTGTCAGAGCTTTGTCAAGACCAACACCCTCGCCACGTCTTTCAATCGCAGACACCTATGAAGAACACGTGATCGCATAAATCCTGGGTAATATTGAGGCTTTCAAAACAAAGAAATACTCTGATCTCGAGTTCATGACTGGATGATTAAAAAAACAATGTGATTTTCAAACAGAGAAATAAGAGACACAATGAAATATTCTGATCTCTTGATCATGACTGGATGACATGAAGGACAAGGAGATTTTCAGAATAACGAAAGACACAATGAAACATTCTGATCTCTTGGTCATGACTGGATGACATGAAGGACAACGAGATTTTTAGAGCAAGAAAGATTTTCAAGAGAGATCTTGATCTACAGGATGTCAAGAAAAACAGTGTAATTTTGCAATTAGCCATTCCTAAGTTCCAAGTTGGAAACACTCGCCAAGAATATTTTTGAATTTCCTGATATCTACCTGCGCCTTGAGTCGATCTTTACGACCGAACTGACCAAATGTTGCGTGAACTCTGGCCTCTGAACTGTACTCAATCACTCCATACTGAGTGTCGTGAACTTTCAGCGAATCAATGAAAATATTAATCATCTCTTTTTCCTTTTTGAACACAGCTTCGGCCTCAGGCCCGGACGCACCGAATGCGAACGCTATGTCCAACGCATCTTCAGCGGCATCTGGAACGAGAGACGAGAGCGATGATATTAAAAATACTGTTCATCACACGATGCAAACGACTGAACACGTACCTGACAACATATCAAGTTGCTTAAGAATACTCAGTGCGATCTCGTCACTATCCTGATCTCTCTCTGCTAAGATCAAACCAACATTGGCGACAGTTTTTAATTCCTCTTTGCTCACGTCATCGCCAAGACCAACGGCGACAATCTTGACGTCATTCCCGTGCAATTCGCGCACCTTATTGGCCAGTTCGTCGACCTCGGCTTCAGTCTTTCCATTAGAAAACACGACCACGGCCTTCCTCACGCCAGGGCGGCCTGTCTCTTTGATGACCTACGAACAACACAATTCTCTTTATCCAGAGTAGAACCACGTTTAAGATATATTTGGGGAAATTTGTCGCTAATCACTTCTCTCTTTAACTCAGGGAATGAAATATGAACTCAACTATTCAAAACCATTCCCCTACCGTTTTTGTGTCGTCCAGAGCTTTATCCAAAGCCTTTCCGTCCCCCTGTCTTTTCTGTTTATCGACACAAGATTTAAAATCATCTTTATCTTTGAACTGACCAAGTTTCACCTCGATATTCGAGCCTTCTTCTCCATAATTCACGACAGCCATTTGTGTATCGTTGCTCTTGAGGGCATCCACGAAAGCATTGATAATTTCCTTCTGTTTTTCAAACGCTGCATCACCTTCAACACCCGAGGCTCCCATGACAAAGGTCACATCAACAAGCTCTTTCGACGGGGCTGCAAATTCAAGATCAAAAAGTGTTATTAGTTTACGATACCACAAACCTGACTAGTCTAGTACTTACCGCTTGGCAATGTTTTATTCAGTGTTTCACTTTCAACCTTCCTCAATGTCAGTTGATCATTGCAGTAATGCTACTCTGACTGAGTGTTGACTGTTGCTATTAATACTAGCCTGACTAGTCTAGTTCTTACTGCTTTGCAATGTTTTATTCAGTGTTTCTCATTCAACCTTCCTCGATGTCAGTTGATCATTGCAGTACTACCATTTGGATGCCCTAACCGACTCATAACCACAACACGAGCAGTCTACTACTACATTAGCTACCATCAAAACTCTCCAACATTCTCACCTTCGCTGACTTCATGAGCCAACAAATGACCCAAAGGGGCAGGCTCGTCATACGGCTGAGCCAAGATCTTATTCGTAGCAATGGAGTTCAACTCTTCATCATCAATATCATCACCAATACCAACAGCAATAATCTTCACTCCAGCATCGTGCAACGGCTTCGCCTCTCTCGTCAACTCAGCTAGACGGGCGCTGGATTTGCCGTTCGCAAATATCACCAACGCCTTCCTTGCGTCGCTTCGTCCGCTCTCTAACAACAACTCACGGGCTCTTTCCAGAGCTTTGTCTATTGCACGACCCTCTCCACGTCTTGGTATGGTATTAATATACTGGTTCAATCTCTCCTTATTTCTGAAGTCGCCAAGTCTCGCCATGATGTTTGCGTTGTGTTCGCCGTACTCCACCACCCCATAGTACGTGTCTGCCACTTTGATGGTCTCGAGGAAACCGCTTACCATGTCCTTTTCCTTCTCGAATACTTCATCGGCATTTGGACCGCAGGCTCCGAAGATGAAGACAACATCCATGGAGTTCTCTGGGGAGGGAATTCAGAGAAGTGTTATCACTTAAAGTGGAAGTGAAAAGCTCGTCAGAAGACGTTAGATAGAAGTTCATAATGCCTTTTTTTACTTTAATATAAACTAGTCTTTAGTCTAGTGAATAGGATACCTTTCTCGTCACCAGTTTTCACACCAAATTGCGCGGCCAATCTCTGGCGATATTCTTCCCGTTCTTGCTCGTTCATCGTCTCCGCGGGCTCAGCTGACGTCACAGGGACCTTCAATAAACACGAAGAGAATGAGACGCAATTGTACGTCACCTAAATTCCCGAAGAAAGCGTCGCTTAATTGTCGAATCACCGCCATATTGTAGCAGAGATTTACGACTGCAAAACACTACCCCGTGCAGGGGGACTTGTTGGTAGCTTTAGGTTATATTGTTGGTATTTACAGAATGATTTAGCTACAGCAGTAAAATCACAACTTGGACTTGAGACGAATTTTCATCTTCGCGAAGAATCTCAATTCAGATTAAATATAAGATCAGTGCTCTACCTCGCCACGCCGGAGTTTAGGTTCCAGGACATCATCTTGGCTTCTCGCAATCGGTCTCTTGCGATCGCTGTACCGATCAGACCATCTTCTGGTGAGTGTTGCTGGACGTGGGAGGCTGTTGTACGCTCCTTGACGCAGTTGGAAGAGAGTGCGATCACTGTAGCGGAACCGCGAGTGAAGTCTAGGAAGAGTGCCGCCCTTGGGGGAGTCTGGCTCCCGCAACCTAGGTAGAGATATAAAACAATGGTTAATATGAAACAGTTTAGGAAACAACGGAGCAGTTTTTGGTTACAGGAGATCCTCCTACCTGTAGAAGGTGTGATGTTCAACAACAGACTTGTAAAGTTCCTTCGTTGAACGATCATTTGGTGTTCTGAATACCACGGTGCTCATGAATGCTTGATACTAAAAATCACATATCTGTACCTCAGAGGTTTATCATTAGAGTGGACCCACAACTGTTGAGCCAGAGTTGTTGAACCTCGCTTGAACTAGGGCAGTAGATACTAGATAGCCCCAGGGCTCAGGCATTCTTACCTCTCCTGGTTTGATCCTAACAAAGAACGTTCTGCCTTTGTACTTTACTTCTTCGATTGTGTTCCTGTGCAGGAGAAAATATTGAGGGTGTTGTTGGCTGCGGTGGAACTCGAATATAGAAAACACAATTGGCTCGACATTTGATCCTACCAGAGAAATTTATTCGTCCGCATTTGATCTTTGTAAATCGTAATGCCAGCGAACGAAACACCAACGTGAATATCAGCACCTTCAGTATCCTGTGGGAAACACAAATATCTTAAAACAAACTGCCCTGGAAAGGTTTCCAGCCTGCAGAAATCCTGATAAACCAGCTGTGAGGGTTTGAGAAAGCAACACTTACTCTTGCTTCATGCAAATCAACGCCATACAATGTTAGCTTTCTTGCGTATTCCAAGTACTGCAGATCAGCCTCCATTGGAGACAAACCTCTGTTGAAAACATTTTGAATGCATTAGAATGGTAAAATAAAAACCTATTCTGTCAACAAACCATTACGTTTAGGTATTAAGTAATTTTTTAACAAAGTTTTTCTTACTTGAGTGTTTTATGAAGCTCTTTCACCTTTGAAATGAGTTCTGGCGACTGTTAAAAAAAGTAAGAATATGAAATCTCTAAATTTATGGCAGTAAAAACCTCATATTAGGGAGGTTTTTGATGATACAAGTCGGCAGAGAAGATCAAAACCGTGCTCAATTTGATGGACTTATTGCCCCTTCCTAACAATTGCTTATTTAAAGTGTTACTGCCAAGAGCAATCTAATAATTCTGACCTGTTCTGGGGCGAACACGACACCATCAAGATAGTCAGGACCATGTTGAAGAGGATCAAAATCACCATATTCGGCTAAAACAAAGATTTTTATCAAACATTAGCATCTGCAAAAACTACTGAAACCACTAGAATGGATGCACATCTGGATGAAATGCAAACCAAAGTACATAACAAGCTACACTAACATATGACTTTGTCAAGGCCGCTATAGACACTTTCCAAATTTGCTTGAATGCACAAGAAACAATAGCTTGGAAACAAGTCAGGCAATGAACTTGATTGTTTCTGGCACAGTTTTCATTGTCCGAAAAAAAATTCTGGACGTGTCTATTCACTGGACGTATTCTTCCAATGGCAAAAAAAAATCATCTCAAAAAATACAAACTTACATTGAATAACATAGGACCCAAGTCTTGCTTGTTCAGAAAATGAACAGGGCAGACTAAAATAGAATTATAATACAGTTGAAGGCTGTGTCTTACATACACAAAAACAATACAAGAAAACAAATAAGATGCTGGAGTTTTGGAGATACGAGCGAGGTCTGAAAATTTCTTGTCAATTTTTGTTCTTGGAAACACATTTTACAGCATGCTACACTCAAACATAAAACTTACCCTCCAGTAACAATTTCAGCTCGAATCTGGAGGGCCATAAGGTACCTGAATAATAAAATACATCACAGAGATAGCTTTAAATATTTTAAATCTATATCCCCTGCCATCATTATATAGTCCCATGAGAGTCTCTGTTATCCCAGTTTATCCCCCTCTTGCACAGGATAAATTTTATAGTCATGAACATTGGTACCTCGTGTAGTCATTTTTCAACTGTTCTGGATTTGGTTCAAAGAATTTCACTGCAAACTCAAAATTTGTATCTGAACCTATTAGACAAAAAAAGAGTTCATAATGCTACCTTTTTATGCCTTTCAGTATATTAATGTGTCAGACAAGTAATTTAGTTGCAAAAAAGCCATTAGACAGAAGCAGGTGTATGTTAATATTTTTAACAGGCTATTTTTTAAAGAGGTTTTCAAATATCCACATACAATGTGATAAAAACATGGGTTAAATTCATTCCACAATCTGATATATCAGTCTTCAACTCAGACAATATGTAAACATAAAAAAGCTGTTTAATCCATCCTCCAAGCACAGCTTTGGAGATGCTTATTTTGGAAACAAATATAGCATTTTGAAAAATTTATAAATACATCCTTGGGTCTTAAACGTGAGATGTTCAACACAGATTATTGACTGCATGCATGTAGACTTTTTTCGCTTGCAAACAAAAAGAAATTATAGTTTTTTTGCGCAGAATTTAATCCTATCTATGACATATTGGGCAATTTTTATTACAAATTGCCAAGCAAGGTGTTTACTTTAGGATTATGTTAATTCAATGTTGATTCCTGCAGTTTGTTGAGAAAGATTAATGGGAAAAATTTGTGTGCTTGGAGAAATATAAAATAGAGAATTCTTCCTTAACATAACGAGGCTAGCAAGTGAACCTAGCTGACTTTGCTTAACATGTAAAATCACTGGTACAATGCACTACAGGCAGCCGTTTTACAAAACCAACTAATCACGTCAATTTCCATTCAATTTTAACAGGACTGTGAATCCAATCAGGAATTTAATTACTTTTCACTAAATTCAAATGTATTTCAATGTCTTTATTAAGCTATGTTGAAATTCAATATCTGCAACAGAATAATGCTTTTCTTAATGCATATGAAATGATAAATGCACCAAAAAACTACTACGAGACATATCGATAGCCTAATAACTTTTCTGCCTAAATAAACTTTTGCAAGTAGTTAGAATGTAGTTTAAATTGTTAACACTGGATGTAAGAGTGAAGCAAAATCTCATTTCTGACAAAAGCTGACTTTGACAGAAAAGTTAGTATGCTATCGATATGTAAAACGCATTGTCTGCACCTTTGTATAGCAATTGGCTGTTCTAAGACTTGCCATGCACACTTGCACTTAGATATGGCAATGTGTCACGTGAAAGGTAATATATGCATTATACTTGACACTAAAGATTCCGGATAATATTTTCATGAGCATGCTTGAGATCACATACAATACACAACAGGCATTTTTTCTGTTCATTTTACTTGAAAAAAGGAGGGATATATCAGAAGAACAGAGGATAGAAATTTGAGTAATATACATATATATATATATATATCTTTGAGAAACGAACTTAAATAACATCCGGTTAAATATTAATAGAGATGATATCATAAAGATGTAACAATGTCACATACTATCTGACATATGATAGGAGCGACAATCCTCGGGATGAAAGATGTATCAAATTAGATAGCAAGCGTTGTTACATTAGGTTACCCTTGAGATGGTAAAGTGTTCAGGACCTACCGTGTAGCTGTTTCTTGATGGGCTTTTGCGTGTCCAACCAACGCTAAAAGTGGAAGAAAGGAAATTAATCCTCAATGTCTTTAATAATAGATAAGTTCTCGTTCGGTTTCTACCCAACCATGTCACGCTCACACGATTGTCAACACATAGAACGCATCTTTATCCGGAGTTGTAAAATATTCAAAATACAAAAGATCCTTTATACTTTAATGCCATATACGACAAGTATTCAATATTTTAATATGCTATGCAAAAACGAGACTGTTTTTCATTGTTTATTTCAAGAGGCAGACAAAACAATGTGTGATAGTTCATCGAGACATTCATCCATTTCCTCAATAAATTCAAAGCAAATTCGTTCTAGAAAACGATCCACACCCTCACCTTTAAACCGGTTTTGTGGTCCACGTACAAGAGGCCGAAGTATTCCTTCTCGTCTACGTTCAAATGCTGGCATATTTTTTCTATCAACAATTTCCCCGGCGCGTTTTTCTAAACAAAAATCGAAAACAAATTAAAATGAAGCGAAGCGCGCGCTTTGCTGTAATTCAATTAGAAAGCAAACTCAAACTCAAAGTGATGATTGAAAGCCTGTGGGATCTAAATGCTCGCATTTCCGAGCGATTTTTAAACACAACAGCATATCCTGGATATTCTATCCCACTCCGAGCTGTACAAATACCGATATTCTGCGAAAATTAGTCCTTTTGCTTTTAAATTTTGACATATACTGATTGATGTTTGGTTACTAACTTTATATCATTTATACTCGCTCGAACGAAATCGTATTCCTGGTATTTTTTAGGTTTATTCAAGGAGGTTTTGGCTATACACTGTTCGCTTTTGTTCATCAATTGATGTCATGGAATATTGGAGAATATGTGCTAAAATTATATTATTCTAAGCGCGGCAGGGTTCAGGAAGGCTAAGCCAAACAAACCCTTATTTATATAAATACTTGGGAGACACCGAGACAGTCAGGCAGTAGATTATAGATCAAAATTTTCCCCCGACCATCTGGTTAATATAAAAAGCTATTAGAAGTTAGAATTGAATAATGAAGCATTCTTGATTTCATGAAGTAAGTATCCGGACATATACGTCCAGATTTCCTTGAGGAATCTCGCCGAATGAGGTGGAAAGTTTTCGGCACACACTACAAACCTCAATGTTTATATCGAAATTTGCTCCGTCCAAACAGGCTATACTACATGCTAGCTTGTTCCTGCTCGGTCTCCGAGTTTTCGTAGCTTCCTCTGACTCGCTTTTGGACGCTTCTCGCTCCATAATCTGTCGAAAAGCTTGAAAAATCTCAACAAACTTTCAACTAACAAGTTACCTACTCGCTTCTTCTTCTGCGAACCGTAACCCGAACGCGTCGTCAAGTTAGTCACGTGCTGTTTGCGACTCTCTCGACCAATCAGAAGCCGTTCCGCAGCCCGTCCCCTTCACTCTGACCTTTGGCGCCATTATTTTTAAGGGCTTGTCAAAATTTAAAAAAACTGGATTTTCTTTTGAACAAAAAACCGACGTCTCTTACATACTAAGCCTTGAGAGTAAAATAAAAGATAAAGCAGCTGTTTTCAAAGCTATATTGCTCGGACAACGCGTTTAAAAAGTTTATACAAAAAAATAAACTATGCGTCTACTTGAATGACCAACTGATGAATATTTCTAGTAAATAGTACAGTATATTCGTCGGCCGGGTGCACACGCCCTTTCAAAAACCCCATTTTTACCTGAGGGTGGAGATCGATTTGTTGACGTGCAGATGAAGGATTTGTTTCATTGTTTGTGCGACCATAGACTATCGAAGGGAAGTCTTTGGTGTGACAAAGACAAATAGTTTGCGTGTGGAAACAAGTTGCCTGGGCAAACGATGCTACATGGGGGGCATCAGAGAGACAATCTTCACAGAAATCATAAATAATAAATAACTTCAAGCTAATTGCTTCGCAGCGCGTAAAGGCTCTAAGATATTTTGAAAATCGTGTAAATGGTTGACTAGAATAGTTCTCAGGATGCTCGATATTTTTCATGAAAATCGCTACATTTTAAACGCAATTGTTTGAGATATATACAAGAATGTCATATGTCAATCATGCACGAATCAAGTGACTTTTCTGGTGACATTTTCGATTCGATATTTTTCCCCTTATCGGCGGCTGGCTATTATCGTATGAACCGGCTCAGCAAGCCGACAAACTGTCAAAATATACATCCACATATTCGGTTTCAACTGTGCGTGACTTACTTTATAAGCCATTAGCAAATTAGTGGCCCAGCCCATATATTAAGTTCGTAGGAGCCAAGTCTATTAGCAATATCGTTGAAATGAAAGATAACGCTATAATAGTGATGCGGTTTAACAAGAATGTGGCGTAATTAAAAAATATTGCGTTTAATATTTGAAAGAAACTGGGATCGTATTACTGAATATAACTCCTCCTGTACTATTGGCTTTGAATAAATTGTTTTCGGTTTTAAATTGCAAGGAAATCGTTCGAGATTAAGTTTGGATTAAGTGTACTCACAGACGTGTTCACTGCCCCACATTTCTCATAAGCAAGTTGGCAGAGTAACCAAATTATTAAATGACTGTAATCAGCCATTTTGCAAGAAGAAGAATTGTTAAAATACAGCCATTTACTTTAGCAGAATCAGGACTTTGTTATCTTTGGTTTTCAAAACTATATAAAAACTATCTACACTTACACTATTCACTATATATTTATATCTACAGAATGTTTTTTAAAAATAATTATTGAAATATAAATAGACTAAAAAGAGGTGTTATTAAATTCAAGATATTTAAGTTTCCTGGAATCCTAGCTCTCCACCTCCATATCCTGGTCAAATAACAGACCATTATCTTGCTCGATACCCGAGGAAATATATTTATAATGGTTGCAACAAAGCACTCGTGTTGAGGGCAAGCACGAACAATCTTGAAGAACGGAGGTTCTGGAATATAAACACAGGAAAAACTATCGTGATGTTTCCAGTAAAGGTTTAGGATTTTCAACAGAAGTAGTATAGGATTTTCAACTCACAGAACGGAATACAAATCTTTCAAACTCACCTCGTTGAGAACAGGGCATTGATCTCCTCCAGGGAGCGATTCTTCGTTTCCGGAACAAATTTGAAGATGAAAATAATTGCTAGCAGCCCGAGAATAGCATAAAGAAAAAATGTCCAGGAAACACCAATAGAATCTGAATGATATAAAAATAAATGATATAAAAAAATACACGCAGGATTTTCATGAAGACACACCACTCCGTTTTGTTAGCCTTTATTTGTCCTTTTGTTCTACACAGCTTTTGTTATCTAATAAAAAGCTTGTTTGCTAAACTTTGAATGGAGAAACACTGCATGTGAAATACCTACCCAAAAGATCCAGCATTGTTAAAGAAACAACGAGATTTGAAGTCCAGTTGAGAACCGTCGTCGCTGCAAACGCCCGACCCTTGATGGCTGTTGGAAATATTTCACTCAACACCAACCAACTCACTGCAATAACACAATTATTGACATTAAATCTTATTATCATTAAAACTGGATCTCTAAGAACAGTTCAGAACAGATAGAGCTATCCAGGATTCCTTCTGTAGTAACACTGAATCAATAAGAGATTATCCTAGCTGAACCTCTAGGAAGAACAGCTTAGAACTGATAGAGGTATCCAGTATAAATAAAGTTTGTTTAGTTTAGGTTTCCTCCTGTAGTAACACTGGATCAATAAAAGATGATTCTTACTGGACCTCTAGGAAGAACAGTTAAGAACTGATAGAGCTATCTAGTAGAAATAAAGTTAGTTTAGTTTAGGTTTCCTCCTGTAGTAACACTGGATCAATAAGAGATGATCCTTACTGCACCTCTAGGAAGAACAGTTAAGAACTGATAGAGCTATCCAGTATAAATAAAGTTAGCTTAGTTTAGTTTAGGTTTCCTCCTGTAGTAACACTGGATCAATAAGAGATGATCCTTACTGCACCTCTAGGAAGAACAGTTAAGAACTGATAGAGCTATCCAGTATAAATAAAGTTAGCTTAGTTTAGTTTAGGTTTCCTCCGGTAGTAACACTGGATCAATAAGAGATGATCCTTACTGGACCTCTAGGAAGAACAGTTAAGAACTGATAGAGCTATCTAGTAGAAATAAAGTTAGTTTAGTTCATGTCCCCTCACCTGGTCCATAACCGGCAGAATATCCCCCAGCAAAGGCCATGAGAGAGAATACCGTTAAATATTTAACGAAACTTGGTATTTCATCATCTGATTCATTCGTAGACCGCTTCTTGGTTGCAATATGTGTCTCCACGCCACTCGGCGATGGCTGAGGGTAACAAAGAAGCCTTACTTCGCTCTGATCCAGTTGAGGTTTTGAAGAAAACAACGGCGAATTGACACGAATGATCGTTGTAGACGTTTGAAGTTCCAGTTGCGTGAAAGATCTAAAGGATTGCGTCTTTGATGCGTTATAAAAGTTCGTGTTGAGTATAGGTAACGTGGTGAATGATGGTTGAACAGAAAGTTTCATGTCTTTCGCCAAAGTGGACCGATTATTGACATGGTAAACACAAGTAGTGGTCATGAAGGTATACGAAGGACTGGGGGATGTTGCATTGATAGGTGGACTCCCGTGTCCACGAGGATTCTCGCAGATCCCGTGATGGTATGACCCGGGGGAACACAGTGTTACGGTAAATAGAAGACAAATGCTGACGGTCATGATGATGGAGCCAGCCAGGAAGAACCGACGACGACCTTGGAAAATCAAATATATACACTTAGAAATATCAATGTATTCTGCATGCGAAATTGAGCGAAACTCGTATACTTTAACTAAAACTGTGCTAAGATTTGATCGGAAGCAGTTGAGAAAAATTCAGTAAGCATTTGTCGCGTTTTCGTCCCTGCGACAGAAAGCAAAACTAGATGATACGTAGGTTAAGAGCGATGAATTTTCAGCCAGAAAAACAATCCTAAACCACAGCTAGATAAAGCAAATTGTTGCGAATGCATATAAAAACTAGGTGCCATTATGTATTATGTTTTCAAACTGACGATTGACGAACCTGCCTTGTCCACCAAAAACAACGTGACGACAGTTGCAACCAACTAAAATTGTATTAAAAGAATATCGATTATGTTTCGAAGTTTTGTAGATAAATGTTGAGTATTCTTCCAAGTGAGGGTTAAAAATATTTGCTCATTTTTCAGTTGTATATATTCTTTGCAATGATCAACTTGCGTTGAGGAAGAATGGCGGTGAAATTCTGAGTAAAACATTGCAAAATGCAAGCCCATTTAAACCGAAGAAAAATCTATGATTTCATTGAAAACAAACCTTTGTCAGACCAATTCCCACGGTAGCCAAAGTCGCTGCAGAATGTGAACGAAATCCGATGTTTTCAAATATCAATGGAGCGTAATACAAGACGCTTGGCTGGCCTGTGAACTGAATGGTGGTGCTTGATATCAATTACAGCTGTGTGTATGTGAAACGTTGTAAAGTGAACGAGAAGTGAGATATTTTACCTGCTGGAAAAACACAATTCCAAGACCTACAAACATTCTGTCCCTCATGTTTTCATGGTGGCCAAATAAATAACAGATGTTGTATTTCTAAAAAAGACGAAATGATGGAATTTATCAATGTTTATGCTACATTTATAATGATGCAGCAGAGAGCTTATTTTAACATGTTGTAATTTTGATAATGTTCAAATCCAAAACTTAATCCTATTCCCCAGAATGTTGGAAATTATTGCTTAGAAATTCGCTTTTGAGGAAAGTTTGGGTAGTGTCAGTGTTGCAGGTCCTCGCAAGAATGATTTTCATTGGCTGAACTTTACAACACATTTCTGTTTCAACCAATAGCATAGCTTCGTTCTTTAGAAAGGATGCATAGAACAGCATTATCCAATTGGACGAAAGCTCCCGAGAGCTGCAAGTTTCTTACATGTTCAAGGTTGAGAGCATCTTTCATTTTTTCTATGGCTTCTTCAGGTACAACATCAGCATGATCCAGTAATCTCATTACTCTCAATGCCTGGACAAACAAAAAGGCAAGCTTTAATGAAAATAAATAACGAACTTTGTGTGTGATTAAAACTTAATTTTCTCATCCTAAATTTGAAACCAATACTATGCAACTATTTTTTTTCAGTCTGATGAGTATTAATATCCAGATATGAGAAATCTTCTTTACTTTAGCATCCTGTCCTTGGCAGACAAGCCATCTTGGACTGGGGGGTAGAAAGATAATACCATAGCCTTGTATCAAGGCTGGAATGCCAGAAAGTCCAAACATGTAACGCCTAAAATGATAAAGGCCAAACGTTAACTGTGTGTGTTATTCAAGTATTTATTATTATTTATTTATTTATTTTGTTCAAGCAAGGATCACAGACATCTTCATAAATCTACATAATTTTACAAAACAACACTCACCAGCCATTGTCAGTATTGATAAACATATAGTTGACCAGATAGGCTGACAAAAGACCGCATACAATACCAATCTCGTTCAAACTTACTAGAAGACCTCGCCGTTTCTGAAGAAAGAAGAATACCTAGTGTTAAAATCTTACCAAAGAACAATCAATATTGCTCAAATCAATTTCATAGCTGCACTTATGATCATCTAATTCATCTTGGTGCTACAATTTTACCAATTATCAGAGGTAAGGGGGACACTGATCTGCCCCCTCCAATCAAGGTCACTCTCCTCCCTCTAATTCCCCACTCCACATCCTAGGAGATATCCACGCATACTCACAGGGGGAGCAATTTCTGCAATGTAAATGCATTCTGCGATGGCTGACAGAGAGGTTCCAAAACCAACGATGAGTCGACCAACAATCTATCAAAAACAAATGTATCATTATGATTAGTATCTAAGGCAATGTCCTCCATATAACCTACGTTGCAGTCAAATATAACCAGAGAGCAGTGTGGCAGCGTCTTTAAACAACTTAGCATCAAATATGGTATAACAACTGCCTAAAATAGTCAAAAGACTTCTCAACGTTTCGACCTGAGGGCCTTTGTCAGGAGAGTTAGTATGAAGAGTTAGTATCATACTAACTCTCCTGACGAAGGCCCTCAGGTTGAAACGTTGAGAAGTGTTGTCTATTTTAGGCAGTTGTTATACTACATTTGATGCTATGTTGCAGTCAGATACACTGTAATACATCCTTCATGGTTATAAGTACAGAAAGTACTATGGCTGCACCAGAGCTGCAAACTCACCAGTAATGAATATGTTGGAGCAAAGGCCAATATCAGAGCACCAGTAAAAAATACAAATGCATTAATAATTATCGTCCGTCTTCGACCAAAGAAGTCAATTATGTATCCTGGGAACAGAAATATTTAACATTCAAGAAACAGCAACTCCGAGGAAACATCTTGACTTCATATTCTGAAGCTAACCTCCTGCCAATGAGCCAAGCAATGCTCCAAACAACATGGAACTGACAATCATTTCTTGTTGTTGACAGTCCAGTCGAAAATCTTCTTTCAATTGAAGCATAGCTCCTGATACAATCCCTAAACAACATGTTATGATTTTGGTTAGGTAAAACCAACAACAAGTTGGAGAACAAAATATTTGTAATAATTAAATAATAATGGAAATGCCATTGGCAATAAATGGAAATGTTGATGCTTCACCTAGTTTATATGGTATTGCACCACAGCCAGACTTATTATTGGGTTGCTGTAGCTCATTTGCACATCCCCTTGCCTTAGACATGTATAGATCAACCCTTAATGCACTCTGATCAAACCTCTTCACACTCTGGGGCCGGTTGTATAAAAACGTAGTTAACTTTTAACAATAGTTAGTACAGAATTCACCAATCAGAGTCATGTATTTCTGAGTTGACTACGATTTAACTACGCAAAATGTAGTTAAGAGGTTTATTCAACCGGCCCCCATGGTGTCTCCACTGGTCTAAATTATTCATTTGCTTCACAGGCCAACTGAAAGTATGTTTCCAGATTAGTGGATTACATTTATACTAGGTTTTAGAAAGGCAATAACAATTACTCAGATGCATGCTGTGTGATAAAATATGTAAATGGACGTGTTTCTTCCTACCTAAATCATATCCAAACAGAACGCCACCAAGAGAGGCAACCATGGCCGCAATCAGATATCTTGTTGAGCCACTGATATTGATACATCTAAACAAGAAGAGCAGGGTATATTTATTGATAATGGTGATGGATAGCATTGTGTCTTACCAGCCTATTAGTTTGAAATCTTCACATATTTGACTCTGTCTAATGGCAGACAACTTTACTCATCTGGGGCCGGTTGTATAAAACTTTTAACTATGCGCACATTTTGCATAGTTAAATTGTAGTTAACTCAGCGATACATAACTCTGATTGGTCAATTCTGTCACTAACTATAGTTAAAAGTGAACTACGTATTTATACAACCGGCCGCAGTGATGAAAAGTCTTGGTACAGTACAGATATACCAAATATCATTGCCATACCCAGGAGTGTCTCTAGTTTCCACAGATGGTTGTTCTGTCATTTCCATCTCATGGTACAAACGTTCCTCTTGTTTGGAGGAATCATCCAACAGATTGTCTAAAAACACCATCACTAGTGGTAGTACTACCTTATACCATTTAATACTATCGTATTTCACGTTAGCTAAGGATTGTTCCACACATCAGCATGATAAAGTCAGTGAAAAACGTGATAAAACCTGTCATTTTTGTCACTTGATAAAACCCGTCATTCTTCGTCTAAAGCCAGGTAATTTTACGTGAAAATAACAGCATAATGCCCAAGTTATTTAGTGAAATTCAAACCTGATTCATTCATCATGATTAAGTTAGTTCATTGAGCACATTAATCTACAAAAGAACATGGGCAACCATTAGGAGGAATCGCTTGTGTGAAATGGATCGAAATTTTGAATATTTCCACTGTAGATACCTTAAATCACAATGATATGTTGAACAAGACTACTGTGCATTGTTAAAGATGTTATTTTTAACAAAATAATAATTTTAAACGAAGAACAAAGAAGAAACGAAGAACAAAGGATTACAGAAACTATCTCGGTGTTCGGACGGACATTCGACGGAAATCGTCGTGAAACATCGTACCATGCTCGGGTTTCGCATCATCAGTATAACAACCAGTGATAACAGGTAATGGTATAAACGAGTTTTTAATTAGTTAATTGAGTTTGTCCCTTTTTAAGCTTTGTTTCATTTTGCATTTCTTAGTTGGACTGGAAGGGGGGAGGGTGCAGACCCCACTCTTGCTGCCTACCCGGAGGTGCAGCGGTGGGCAACAATGCCCGCCCAACTCAGTCTGCCTTGAATCTCCCCCCCCCAATAATTCCAGTCGCCAAATAGCTAAGGATTTTGGTTTGGTAAACGATCAAACCAAGACCTATTCGTTTTCCAGTTATTTTTAAAAAATCCTGGTAGAATCTTCCAATTGACGCCCAGCAACAACCTTTTACGTTCTCGTCTTATCTCCTCCCACGAGACACGAATTAAATTTAACCCCCGGGAAAGTTTGCTAAAAAGAATCCTTTTGGCTAAGCTTGATTTGATATTGTGGTGTGGTTTAGCAAAAACGGTGCCGGCGACGTCGTCTGTCGGTCTGTGAGGTGGGGCTGACATGATATATATATGATACACCCAATACCTGATCGTTTTCGCCAAATTGATATATTGACATGCGCAAGACAGTCCTCGCAATACTGAAACAACTCCCAAACACGCAGTTTCATATCAAAAATACTGCGTTGTCATTGATTGTCAATTGTTACAGTTCTTTCCATCAGTTTAGTACTTTTAATATCAACAGTTTATATAAAATAGAATCCATCTGGCTAGATAAGAATCATCCTCTGTTTTGGAGATCGGTCGTTTATCCAGGTAAAAGCTTAGCTTGTTTCCTGCTGTTTTTACGCGTTCTTAAAACGTCTGTCATCGACGCCTCAGCTAGACCTCCCCGTGTGATCCTCAAGTGGAGCTAGAGTGTCATTGAAGAGCCAACATGGGTTACACAGTAATGCGATTTAAGAAAGGTACATTTCAAATCCTTTTATCTCAACAATTTCCAGACGCTTCCAGTTTATCACGAACTTGCCCGCGGCTAAGTCTCTGTCAAACGCGTATTCGACCGAAATTACATGTGCTTAGAGATCGCGTGTGTGATGGACGAGATGATGGATGAAACGTTTACGAACGGCTGGGTAATGAAATTCTCTAGAAAATGAACAAGCCTGAGACGTTTGTGACGACGAGGAATTTACCAGGTAAAAATTCTGGAACTTAAAAGAATGAAACTTTATCAGTTTGCGATTGCACTGAATTTTAAACTCTGGAGTAGTAAATGCCTTTCCACTAAAGTAAACTCTTCCCACAAAGCGTGAACTTGCTCGCTGCAAGGGTGTTTTCTGTAGATCGAAAACAATGATATTTTACCACATGTTTTCATGATCACATGGAGAAAAGTATAAATATTAATGATTTCAAGTGATTGTCGAGTGCTATAGGCGTTGCTGACGCATATCCTTAAATAAACCCGTTTTCGGACACGTTTTATTGTATTATTTCATCACAACATAATGCTAGCTATCCGTTACAAATTGCAAGACTAGTATCGTATAGTGGAGCACTAACAATCAATAAAGACAATGGACAAACGTGATGTAGGTAAATGTTATTATTAATGGATTATCTCAGACAACACGATGTGGCAAAAGGATGCAAATATAATAAAATTCAGCAGGTTTGTAATGCATTTTGCCACCGGAAACTTTACTTTTGAATTTACTTTTCTGAAATTATTCCAACATTTAGCAATTATCGTTCCAAAATATTACACCGTTTTACCTCATAGCATAGGAAATCGCACGTAGTGTAAAATGTTTTAAAATATGAGAATAAAAGGACGCTAGGATAGATTATAGAAATGATTCAACACGTTTTACAGCACTTATATAGTTACGTACACAAGTATACGCAGATTGTTTATATCTATCATTGGACGGATAAAATTATATAATATTTCTACTTCGAACGGTCAAATATATTAAAAAATGGATATAAACATTGTCTTGTAGTTGCATTTAGACTTGAAAATAGCGTTGAAAATAGACTGAAGTCTTTGACTTTGCAAATTCGATATGGCTTCAATCCTCAGCATGCGATAATTGATATTTCTGCTACTTTCCTGTATGTCATTCTAACCTTCCGCTGCCTCTTCATGAATGCAATGAGCAATACAATGTAAAAGCGGCTAGTTTTGCTGTTTATGGATGTATAGATTGTGCGGTTACGGACGATATTTTACCTCGTTGTGTGCCTAGTGACGTTGACGGTGGATGTCATAGGGAGATCTAAATCTTGAAGTAGCAACCATTTAAAACAGAAATAGGACGGATCAAATATAATTACATTGCATTGATAATCAGTTCTAATGCGGAGGTCCTGTACACGAATGATCTCCGTTTAATGCGTACCACAGGATCAATTGACCAGATTTTCTGAGAATTATTAAAGCTTATGGTACTCTGAGCTGAAGGCACGAATCAAACATTTTCTCAGTTGCATATACTGTCTTGAGAGTATCACGAATGATTATGCGAAAGTTGACAAGGTTTTCCCGGAATAATTTTAAGGACAAATTGCGTGGTTGGCCAGGTCAAGGTGACGTTATGATGAGCTAATGTTGGTTAAAATCCAGAACTTGATGTATTTGAACTGCCAATTACTCGGTCTATACATTACCAATTGATAAGTTAAGAAAGGATCCCGATTTACAAGTGTGTGGGATCAGTACTGTAGGAACTCCGAACTCCAGCAGTGATTAAATTCACGGGCCATTTTCGCGCCAAACTCAATGCTGACTGCTTACGCCATTTGACGAAACTCGAAGTTGTTGGAAACTGAGTAGCCCAAGCTCTCCAGTACCTTTGTACCCTGTCGTATCCTGTATTGCTAGGTCCTAGAATGATCGCACTTAGCAACGATGTTTTAGTTAGTGGGCGTAGACATCAGCCACATCCATTAGGTTGGAATGATCAACAAATATATCTTTCATATTCAGTGGTAAACTAGGGGGGCGTTATGAAGCAGATTAACACCTCTCTACCACAAAAACTTTTGTGTATTTTCCATAAACTGCTGTTTAATACTTCATTTATTATCGTTTAAAACACATCTACGAAATTATCGCGCATCGGCTAAGGCCTTTGGCAATTGGCATTGCGAAAAGGATCATAAATAATGAACTTTTTTGCGTTTACTTTATTGGATGTTTATCTTTAATAGATCGCTATGACGTTAAGATCCCCACGCGTCATCCATCTCACGTAAATTGCCAGTACACCTGCATTACATAAATCCTTTTTAATTTACTTAAAGAAATTCTTGTTTGATTTAGGTTTAAGATCGAAAATATTGACAAAATATGCCATGCAAATCCTCTGCCTTATAAAGGTGTTGTTTTGAAAGCGTGGAAACAGTGAGGACCGTTGGCCCTTGAAAAACTTGTGAGATTCCCCAAATGAGACCAGTCGCCTGTGGCCGTGTTTCAAAAGGTTGTTTAGCGAGGCGATGCGTGTGTTGGTATACGCATACACGTTGCAGAACGAAAAATTTTTTAACAGTTTTAAAAAAGTTTAAAAGTTTTTATTCATACAGAAGAAATCTGGTAATTCCTTTGTAGAAAGAATAAAGGATTTCTAAAACCATTGTTACACAATTTCTCCTGCATTTACGTGAAGCACGAAGCCGATTACATGTGGACACAATTGAATGTTTCCTCTCGAAGCGAATGATAGAAGAAAAACTCGAAGCATTTGATGAATGCACGATGGCATTTTACGAACAATCAGTTATATAAAACGGCTCTCAAAAAACATGCAGACATATATTTCGGAAGGAATTCTGAAAAGCTCAGAAAACCGTCAAATATAAATATGTACAAATTTGAATTCAAAACAACCTCTAATATCGTAATTAAATGGGCATCCATACCAAAATGAATACCATAGACGATTCTTTCCGTGCCAATTGACGTGTCAGTCTGCGCGAACGGAAAAATTACAAACACACACAATACGATTGGGAATTCTGTAGTGAGATAAGCCCTAATCAGCTGCTTCCCTAGAGTCAAAAATCGGAAATGTTTATGAAATAACTTTCCGAAGATCTTATCTTCAAAACACCTGTGATGTTTCTTTTATAGGTTTGAGAGCTCAACGGAGCAACGCTGAAATTTTGGGCAAAGGAATACTTTGAAACACCGGAACATTTGAAACAATTGTTTGTTTCATTTATTATGGTAATGCAGAGGGGGTTGTCATTTTTGTGTAGGAGGTCAAACTGAAACTTGAGATCTTTATGATGTAGCTTATTTGCATGTAACTAAAATCAGGCTGTATTCTTTTAAATTTAGTCTGGTTCGAAGCGGTGGAAACGGACCTCAAGTATCGTGATGTCGGGTCCATCGATCGCATGGAGCAACGTCGATTTCACTCTTAAAGAATTTGTACAGAAAAACACGTTACCACAGGCGGTTCGAGTCAAGAAAGACGCCAGTAAATCGATTGCTTTCAAAAGCAGCGTCGACTTGATACTTCACGAATCCAAAACAATAAAGAAAGTCGAAGCATGTGTCGTATCCGAAGGAAAGACGTTCGTCCTTCCCTATGACTGCCCGGCGAAGGTATTCCAGCTTACAAAAGCGGATGAATACGAGAGTTTAGGTGAGCTACGCAAGGTGTTGCCAACATGTCGATTTATTTTTGTGACAAGCGAGCCAAAGGATCAACAACTAGCGGACATTGAACGTGGGGAGGTATTGACCATTGTGTTTAAAAGAAACATTAGCGGTTCTGATGTCTTTACTTGCACTCGTAAGAAATCCGGCGAGAAGATTGAAATTAAAGCAAGTGCGAAAGGAGGTTTTGCTGCTATGGGTACCACAGCTGAGCGAAAAATAAACGACTTCGTCCGTCAATATTCGACGTTTCCTGTGGCAATTGGCCTGACAGAGTCGACCCTGACAAATAAGGCATTTAGTGCACTTAACGATGTTATATCGCAGTCAAAAAGTGGATTAATACATCTAAAAAGATGTTTTGCAGTTGATACAGTTATTGGTTCTAGTCTTGGTAAAAAGAAGACTGTTTATGCCATTCCCAAAGCGCTGGAAATTACGGTAACCGCTTCAAAAGCTTTGTTGCAATCAGACAGCGAGCATACGGACTTTTGCAGGAAGTTACATGAAGATGTGGATCAGGCATCAGTCACAACTCGTTTGAATCTGGCCGTGTCCTTTTCAAAGGTTGAAAATGAAGTACTACAATGGGTCTACGGAGACGATAGTGCCTACGATGAAGTGGTGCCTCTTGCAACGGGGAAAGGTAAAAATTCGAAGGTGAACGGCGAGTTACCAAAGCGTGACGGGGGTGTTAGGGAGCAAGTACGACAAATCAGTGGCTCTGACTTAAATAGCAAAGAATCGAAAGAAAAGATCAAGGAGAAAGAATCGAAAGAAAAGATCAAGGAAAAGGAACCGAAAGAAAAAGAAAAGCCAAAGGATAAAGAACCAAAAGAGAAAGCGACTAAAGAAAAGAAGGTGAGATATATTCTAGTGTATTCAAGCCATTTTACTGTATACCTATTAATATACCACACACAACAAACTCCACCCGGAATGCAACAATCTTTCAGACTAAAGATTCGAGCTATGAAGATAATTTGTCTTAAATGAGAGTTAGCTATATGTATTATCATTTCATTGAATGCCCTAATTGCACGCTGTTCAAGAATTTAGATCAAAAATGATAAAGGGTTAAGATATTGTTAGATGTTTGTATGACCTGCTTGTGTTTGATACAATTTGATGCCTAACTTAATTTACGTGGACTCCCAATCAAGTTTCAACAACGAGTTAAGATCAATTAATGTTGAATTAACAGCCTCAAGTGTTGCGAATCCATTTTCAAATTGTTGCATATGTACGACCCTTTCGTCATCAGCAATCAGTAATCTTTCAATAAGCAATCATCCTGCAATTTTTCGACGTGTTGCGAAACTGCAGGAAGGAAGACAGTATTTTATCACGTACGTGTCGGAGATTTAGTGAACCCTAATCTCGCTAAAATCTCGGCTAAACTTGGATAAATACAATCAAAGTGTTTATACCATCATTGACCCGCCACATCACGGCACAGGGCTTCAACTTTTAGCGCTGGATTGGCGCTATCAGTTCTAAGCTATTTTCTGTATGTACATAAAATTGATCTATTGTCAATTGCGGGCTCGCATGTACAGATAGTTAACTAATCATGTTATTTGTGTCCTATACAAATGACGGATGGTTTGAAAATAGTATCGACAACACTAGCAGAGAATATTGAATGTAGGGGGTTTATTTTTAAAGGCAATTTCACTGTAAAAAATGTTCCGCGAAATTCCGCTAATTCTTTCAAAATGCATTTCAGACATTGCCTGCCAGAATATAATTAATGTAAATACACCCATGCCGGACGTAATTATTTTGGGAAAGTCGATAAAGGAGTCTTTTAAACCGCAGCGAATTTATACGTGTTAAAATTGTCATGGCAATATCGTTATTCATATAGTCATTTAATTATATACTGTTCTTTCAACGAGAGTTCTGGCACTTCTAAGAATGGTCATGTTCAAACCTTGAGGGTTAATTGGACATAATTGAAAATTGACTATTATTATTCTTTAGCCATAAGTCTATTTAATACCATTAAATCAAGATTGTGTTTCATGGAATTCAGACGGGGGCTAATTTAGGTCACGTTCAGGAAATACGATATTCCTCCAACGGGCCTAAGTTCGGCTTAAAATGACCTTGTTTATACCTGCTTAAGAGCCTAAAGTCTCCTGCAAAGCAGCTGAAGTCTAAATAATAGCCTTGTTTAAAAAACAGCCTAGATCGGCGCTACTTTGTAAACGCTTAGCTTGAAATCTAAGATGTTCTGTCCATCGTTCTGTCCTCTAAACCTTAGCATTAATATTTCGAGAAGCTGTGAAAAGAATTGTTTTGAAAGCCATGGCATTCATTGATACGGCTATATGAAAAGGTAATACGGCTATGTATAAAAAATATTTTCTAAAAGCAAAAATGTCGACCCGCTGAGAACTGCTATTAAAAAAATTCTGCATGACGTTTGCGAAGTCAGCATGCTAGCAAGAATTCTATAAATCAAGGAGATAGCTCTAAACCGACTGTTTTGTTGTAGAGTGAAAAAGAATTTATCCATGCATGAATAGTTTCACGGAAAATATGAAATATTTTATAAATAAAAATCTTCGTTAACTTGAATTCCGCCATTTAGGATATGTATATAAATGAAGATGCGGTTGGCATCAGAAGGCTATCTACTAGCTACATATGTAAACTTATAAAGCGAGAAGTTTAGGTTTCCTCCCGTAGTGCTGTTTGGATCAATAAGAGACGATCCTTACTGGACCTCTAGGAAGAACAGTTCAGAACTGATAGAGCTATCCAGTATAAATAAAGTTAGTTTAGTTTAGGTTTCCTCCTGTAGTAACACTGGATCAATAAGAGACGATCCTTACTGGACTTCTAGGAAGAACAGTTTAGAACTGATAGAGCTATCCAGTGTAAATAAAGTTAGTTTAGTTCAGGTTTCCTCCTGTAGTAACACTGGATCAATAAGAGATGATCCTTACTGGACCTCTAGGAAGAACAGTTTAGAACTGATAGAGCTATCCAGTATAAATAAAGCTAGTTTAGTTCAGGTTTCCTCCTGTGGTTACACTGAATCAATACGAGATGCTCCTTACTGGACCTCTAGGAAGAAAAAAGCTTTAGCGTGTGTTGAACTGATTGTTGAGACATCTGTATCAGTGTATCCATATTACTTTATGAATAAAGTGATATAGTTCAAGATTTAGCATCAATGTCAATAAAAATTGTTTTATCCAAGGATAAAAAGACGAAAGAGGCTAAACAAGAGAAGCCTAAGGTTGAAAAATCCAAATCCAACGAGAAGCAAAAGGACGAGGGTCGTAAAGTGTCATCAAGTAAGGAAGAACCAGTTGAAGATCCGGTAGAAGATGACGCTGGTTACCTTGTTCCTGCTGAGCTGTTGAGAGCGCAAAGACAAGCCTCAGAAGAGGAAAATAAGGCTGGTCAAAGCAAAGAAAGAAGCTCGATTGGGGTCCAGTTGGGTAAGAATATAATTTTAACGCATATTTTGTTTGGAACTGTAGATCTTTCATGCAGTGTACGAAATCACATTACATTATGAAGATCCTTACTCGCTCGCTAGAGAGGTCTGTGGAGGCATCCAGCTAAAACCCCCCTCAAAAAACTAATGTTTAGTTTAGTCAAGTTTAGGTTCCTCCTGTAGTAACACTGAGTCAATAACAGATGATCAACTATAGATGACGAGTTTATAAGTTGGTCTAGTTGAGGTTCAAGTCCTTGACCTGCAATCACGATATTCCCCCTTAAAAATGAAATGTTAATGAAAATGAGGAATATTGATTTGAGATTGCATCAGCGGAAAAGGAGAGTTAGTAATGACGTAATTGTTTTGTGAGAGGAATCGCCGCGGTACTTGATGTAAAGACGATGCGACGAAAAATGTAACAATAACGGTGCTATTGAAGTTAACCTATGGTCGTCAACTGACAACCGCAAAAGGAACTACATAGCAAATGTAATGGCGCTTCGAGTTGGGCCTAACTCGTCATGGCGTAGCTATTGATATGATCATTGTAGTAACCTAAACATCGTCGTCTCCTGTGTTTAGTTAAATCAACTCCAAATAGAAAATGAAAAATTCTTCACTTGGAATCCAGTTTCTTCTAAAATGATTGCATCAGCAAATCTCGAGATCGGCCAACAAGAATAACTCGAAAAGATGACAGTTGTCATTCAAACGTGTCAAGTAATTCACAAATCGTTTCGTCCATATAAGTCGTTAAAATGTGCGAATTCAGGTCGGAAAATTAAGACCGCCCTTCATAGTACAACCCAAGTGTCTTGAGAGGTCTTGATATTGATACGACATTTTAAATTGTTTTGAAAAACAACTTGAATATACATAGATATTTTACATTTTTACATGTAGTACTGAACTATACTCTTGATTAAGAAAGATGTTATTCAATCTTAAGAGCACTAGATATGCAGTGCTCAGCATTTTGGCAGGTTGGCAGAATATAGACACCATATATGATTTGACATAACGAAGTGCTTCCACTGGACACTTGAAACAGGAGCTGAGCATATTGTAACTATTTGTTGTAAACGGGAAATCTAACATGATTATACCTGATTATCGCACCATTCTTAAATAATAGTGCTTCACATTTCCACTTCAACAATTCTAGTAGATTAAATATTGTAATAGGATTAATCCGGTGCAGAATCATAGCTATTTAAGGTGATGGCGTTGCTTGCTATAAAATTGTCTTCTATAGTCTTGACAACGACTTTTAAAACGTGCCTTTCGCTTAGGAATATGCAGAAACTATCTTTCAATTCTTAATACTGAAATCAAGAAAATAATTTGCAAATTCGCTCAAGCTAGAAGCATTTTTGACAGCGTCCGAGGGCAGGAATATACATCAGTAATAATAGTTGTGATGACCTTGAACTAAACACACTAAACACACGTCTTGCATTATATAGGCCGTTTTATGGACAAGGTGAAAGGCAAAAAAGATGGAAAGAAAACTGACCGTCCAGTGAGCAATATTGAGATCGTACATGAAACTCATGGGGAGCCAATCAAGAAGAGCGCTACCATGCCCGCAAACAGTAACATTAAGAAACCTGATCTTAAGAAGAAAGCTACAACAATGAGCGCAGATCAACTGAATAAAGATGATACGGATGACACAACAGATGGTGAGATATTATCATCATTAAACCGACATTGATTATCATAGTCAGGAGCCTTTTTTTAAAGACTTGGATTGGCGGTGTGGTGGGTTAGATTTATGTGGGGAGGGTGGCGCTGGGAGAAGGAGGTCTTGGGTCCCCCCCACTACACTACATGTATTGGAGGTGGGCACCCAATCTCATTGCCTTGTCTAACATAAACCTTTCTTCCCAGGTCCTGCCGCAAGTTCAAAGGAGAAGGAAGGGAAGAAACGGGATAAAGGAGTGTTTGGAACGGCTGGAAGGAAAGCTGGGGCTAAACTTCGTCATAAATTAGCCAGAAATAAAGCGGGCGATGAAGACGATAATTCGAAATCAACTTCACCAACATCATCTTTACCAACACCGCCAAAAGATGAAGAAATAGATGAGCAAGGTATGGTGCAAGCCACTTGAACAAAAAGCATTTAATTTTGTGTTTTTACCTGTCAAGGTTTGATCAAGGTACAAACTATCTTTTAGACAGAACTTTTAGGACAACAAAGAATTAAAATTCCAGTGAATAATAATAAGAAAAAGAAGGAAAAGAAGAAGCAACCAAGTTTCACTTTCATCGGTTCAAATCTAATAATTTGTTTATGTTTTTTAGACATGTATGTCACACCGGTCGACAACCAGCTTAGCAACTCCGCGTCAACGTCGATTGCTGACCGACAGCTTCCCTCCATCCCTCCGGAAGAGCTTCGTAAGCCGAGTACGATTTCGGTTCCAGATATTCCGTACGACGACGAAGATCTTTACGACGAAATTGAACCGAAGAAAAGCTTCAAAATTCCCAAAGATCTTTCAAAACTCAGCACGAGCGATATGTCTGAAGTTCTGCGTGCTCTAAATATGGCCGAACATGTGCCGAAATTTAGAAACGAACAAATTGACGGCGAAATATTTAAATCTTTAGACGAAAAAACACTTGGAGCACTCGGAGTAATAGACCCCGTGCAAAGATTAAAGGTGAAGAAATTATTGAAGGGCTGGCGACCTAAGTGATGATGAGATAACTCGTTAGTTTTGCAATATTCACCATAATATGATTGTAGGAAAATACTGTTTCAATAATCGGATGTAATTTACGCACACGATCTAAGTAATCTATAAACAACAACCGCACGATATGCCAGGCTGCTTTCCGAGGGGAAATTCAAGAGCGTCGTATACTGCTAACCAGGATTTGTATCAACATTTGTGAGAAAGAAAAAGTGCTCAAAATCGCGTTTGAAAGATCAAGAAGAAAAATATGGACTCTCGATATGAGGCAGACCTTTTACTCAACCCAGCCATCAGCAGAAGGGGCAAATCATGCATTCTAGACTAGCGATATGAATTAACAATAGAAGTTAAATTATTTTAGGTTAATAATAATATAAGAGGCGAGAGGATTCGTAGTCACGTAATTTGTAAGCAAATAGAATCGGGCTTTGTTGCCCTTACACACAAGTCATACAAAAACGAAGGATTGCTTTACTTTGAAAGGCGGCAGAAAAACTATAAAGTTTCTTTTGACTAATCATGCGTTTTGTCCTGTTTTTAAATCCTAGTGCGCCTGTATTTGAAGCTATGCAGCTCGTGTTTAAATTGCTTTTCCTATGAATAATCATGCAGCTGGTAACATACAAAAAATAACTTGTCCTTAGATTAACTTTATTGCATACCTTTGTCTCTACAGTATGATCAGCATTTTTAGATAATTAAGCAAGCCTGTATATTTTCATCATAACTTAGAAAATACGTTGGAAATTCACTTTGTAAAATTCTGTAATAAATCTTTGCCTTGTGTCACCGTCAACTGCTTTATAGAATGCTTCACTTTTTAGCGAGAAAACAGCGTAATAATTTTTATTTAATAATTTGAAAAATATGCTTTTAAATATATTTATAAACTATTTACAAATATAACTTTCTTGTGACTACACCCCCCTCCGTATATAACTGCACAATTCCCCCCCCGTATATAACTGACAATTCCCCCCCCGTATATAACTGCACAATTCCCCCCCCGTATATAACTGACAATTCCCCCCCGTATATAACTGCACTACCTCCCCCCCGTATATAACCGCATTTATTTACACCCAAGTGTTATAAAACTGGAAGCCCGTGAAGATTATTTCCCAAAGGTTTTCCTGGACGAGACTTTCTTGCAAATTTGAGGCACAATAACGGAGTAACTTTCAAAACTCCCGAGCCAAAACATTAGCAAGTATTTGACACCGTGGAATCTTTTGATTAACCAACTATACGACCGCAGTTCAATAAATAATTTGGACAACATTTGCTGCTAAAAACCTCGACAAAAACAATGAAAATAATCAGATCTCTAGAGGAATCTTATGCGATTATTGAACCAATCAGAGACGACGATTTCTCCCGCAGATGTGAGAGCAATCCCGGAGGCAAATAAATGCCGGGATGGACAAGATCGTGCGGAGGAAAAAGCTCGTAGGAACCTTCCATCTGGGGTAAAAACTCGCACGCTACAACTGCTCTTTACACCGACCACGACATAACCCCGGGGGTCTACAGCCACCCCGGATAAATGTTCCAGGTTACCCTGGAATCCGTGAATCTCCTGGGCGGAGATTTTCCTGAGGTAACTTCCGTCGCTGCGAAATACTTGAATTCTCATGTTGATTTCGTCTGAAATGTAGAAGTTGTCTTCCTTGTCGACAGCAACGAAATTCGGACAGCTTATTTCACCATCCCACTTTCCCAGTTTGCCAAATGAAAGGAGAAATTTACCAGCGCTGTTAAACACTTGGACCCTGTTGTTTCCTGAGTGTAAAACAAGAGGTGGTTGGCGATGTATCTCGACATCTACCGTAAGCTAAGAGAGGGGACTGAGGGTTGAGGGGATGTGGAACTTGCACCAGAAGGGGGCTCACCTCAGTGGAGGAGGTCTTATGTTGTGGGAGGGGAGAACGTATATGGAAGCCAGAGGTCTTACTTGCGAAGAGGGGGGCTTACTTGAGAGAGAAGGGCTTTATTTTAGAGGGGAGGACTTATTTGAGAGGGAAAAGTCTTACTTCAAAGAGAGAAGTCTTATTTGAATGGGGAGGATTTATTTGAAGGGGGACGTAGCATAGTGTACCTTGATCCACAACAATAATACGATCCCTGCTATCAACCGCTATCCCCATCGGTCGCCAAAATTGTCCCTGGCCCCGTCCTTCACTTCCAAACATCCTGATGAAAACACCATCACTTGTGAACAATTGAATACGATTGTTCAGACAGTCGGAAACAACAATTGTGCTATCATGAAGTATCGTGACTCCGGTAGGACCGTTGAACTGACCAGCATCGCAGCCGCGAGAGCCAAATTGGAAAAGAAACTCCCCATAATATGAGAAAACCTAAGATTTGGATAGTTTGATGTGAGATTTAGAGCCGAATAAACAAAGCTTTCTTGATTGGTTAGCCTTTACTTTTTGGGCAAAAACTTGAAGAATCCAATCGAAAATACCCCTCAAGGAACATTTAGGCAAAGCTTGCTGTTTAAGAGCAAGAATGAGCGTTGCAAGAAAGCTAAAACCTTTCCCGAATATCATAAAATAGTTCCAAAAAGGTCAGCTGAAAAGCCCAGTGGGAAAATAAAAACATGCAAAGATAACTGACCTGTACCCTGTTGTTGTTGAAATCAGTCACAATGAGTCTGTCGTCGTGGTTCTGGTGGTCAACCGCTATGTCGCACGGATGATGGAACTCGCCACAACCTGCAACATTGAGGTACGTCAGCTAAAGTCCAAAGAAACACTAAAGAATATCTTGGACTGGAAAGTTGCAATAATTCTAAACTGTTCTTCCTGACTCTGAGTATTGGACACCCCAAAACAATCATGTTTTGAAGGAGGAAACCTTTTGTGTTTGATAAGGTGAGAATTAATGCTGTATGGAATTCCTCGCAAGTGAAAACGATGAAATCATCGCAAACTTGTGAACCGCAATGAGCTGTTAAAACGTACCTGAACCTCGTCTACCAATGCTTCTATTTCTCAATATCTTGTCGTATCTGTAATCACGAGCGCTCTGGCGTCCTCCATTCCAGATCTTGGTGCTCTCCCGTGAAATCACGGATCCCAGTTGAAAGTCTTTTCCCTCAACCCCAGAATTACCGCGTCGTTTGCAGAGGAAGTCTTTCTCACTCAAACTGTTCTTCATAGCGTTTCGTTCGTTCTCCTCTTGGACTCTTGAACCGACGGTGGAAGGTCTTCCTGCACAATCAATTCCAATTTGATTAATTATAAAAACAGTGTGATATTCTTTGAGAACTGTTTTGAAACGACAGAGGCAAGCAGTATCATTGAAGTTAGTTAACGTCTGTATAAATAACGTTAGTTTAGAGAGAAAAGTTTGGTAAAATTAAATAGAAAAAATTCTAAATTAACTGGTACCGTCATTATTATCATCTTCATCATCATCAGAATCGTCATCGTGTATTTCTGGTAAGGTTAAACCGTTCGTCTCCTTTCCTTGAGTAAAATGTTCCGCACGAATTTCCCATGATGCATGGCGAATCACGGCCTCGACTGCGGCTATGAATGTCGTGCCAGTCTTCTCACTTGCAACTCGGTTCAATTGCGACTGGACAAGAGACTTCAACGACAAGATTTCGGCATCTGTGCCGTGATGAAGCAGAACTTGCGAAAACCTGACCGCATCAGTTATCTGCAGGAAAGAGAAATGATTGAAATAAAACGAACAAGAAATTTGTGAAAAGAGAAATGATTGAAATAAAACGAACTAGAAATTTCACTGCCTTGTAAACCGAAGAAGCATGTTTACAATTCACGCCATACGAATTTCACAAACCTTTTCAATTCTTTTTTCTTCTTTCAACTGGGCTTGTTTGATCAATTTAAACTGTTTGTCATACCAGGTGAGAACCTCTTGCTGCAGTTTCACCTCGTATTCCTCAACCTTTTCTTTATACTCAACGAAATAATTCCTGATTTGATCGCAAATCTCGCTCTTGCGATCTCGGAGTTCGTCCACAAGAGTGCAACAACGAGACGCACATTTCTCGTGGTTGATAACCTTTAGGAGACAATGCCATGCTTTAATTGTACAGTTTTGCCAATCCTGTTCTTATATGATATTTGGTTCAATTTGTTTTTAATGCCCGCAGCAATCCCTACCTTGCAGGTAACCTAGTACTAGGAACTAACTCTGAGTATTTGTGGCCTGATTTTCTGAATTCTTGGGGAGCTGGTCAGAGATATTATGAAATGAAGAGATTAGAAGATGTGAGGTGGTAGACATTGCAGAGAAGATAAGGGAAGCAAGGTTGAGATGATATGGACACGTAATAAGAAGAGATGAAGGAGAGCTGGTCAGAGATATTATGAAATGAAGAGATTAGAAGAAGATGTCAGGTGGTAGACATTGCAGAGAAGATGAGGGAAGCAAGGTTGAGATGATATGGGCACGTAATAAGAAGAGATGAAGGAGAGTTGGTCAGAGATATTATGAAATGAAGAGATCAGAAGAAGATGTGAGGTGGTAGACATTGCAGAGATGAGGGAAGCAAAGTTGAGATGATATGAACACGTAATAAGAAGAGATGAAGGAGAGCTGGTCAGAGATATTATGAAATGAATAGATCAGAAGATGTGAGGTGGTAGACATTGCAGAGAAGATAAGGGAAGCAAGGTTGAGATGATATGGACACGTAATAAGAAGAGATGAAGGGGAGTTGGTCAGAGATATTATGGAATGAAGAGATCAGAAGAAGATGTGAGGTGGTAGATATTGCAGAGAAGATGAGGGAAGCAAGGTTGAGATGATATGGACACGTAATAAGACTAGAAGAGATGAAGGAGAGCTGGTCAGAAGAATTTAAAACTACACGAATGGCTAACCTTTGAAATCGCTCTGTCCAGCACAGCTTTCAAATTTGGTACTTCAATTGAAGAAGCCACGGTGACACTCACGGCATTATGACCCTGGTGTACATCACATCCCGGGCATATTGCCTCATCACACGACCGGCAGTATGACTCGACCAAATTCTCCTTGTGCTGCGGGCAGAACACCGTACGCTTCTCACTGCGACATATCAGATCCTCTTCGAACTTAGCAAACGATATCAAGCTATGTTCACGTGTCAGCTTCGTGTTCTCATGGCAGTAGACACATGCATCGCATAGGTACTCCCTACACTCTTTACAATACTTCAAAAGTCGATTATTCCCGGCCGAGCAATTCCCGCATTTAGGACCAGGGTTCTTTAACTCTTTCAGCAGCGACTTAGCCAGGCAGTTTGCGAAAAAATCATTCTGTTTCATTGCATTTGCGCTTGTTTCCTGTTCGCATTTTTTACATAATATACTTTCTTGCACCTGTTTCTGTCGTTCAATGCATCCAAAACAAAACGAATGAAGACAGTTTAAGATATACGGGTCCGTAAAGGTCTCATTACAAAAGGAACATCGAAGTGACACGGAGTCTTCGAGATTTCCATCTCCTCCCATCGTGTACACATACGAAGGTCTTGTTGATACAGTAACGAGCGAGCAACCAAGTTATATATTGAACTATTTACGATTATCTTGTAACTACATAAAACACCTGCAATTTGTCTGTGTTTAAATATTAATTAGGATCCCGTCTTTATCTATTCTTTCTTCTGCGAACGTAAACATATGTCTCGATGGAAAACCGCGAGGTAATTCGCCATAATTGGTTAACGGCGGCCGAAAAACAGCGTATATTTTAGCTCGCTTTTGTCGAATACATAAGAATGCTAGCCATATTGGAATATAAATGTAATATTATTTTGTCTGTGTAAAGGCAGTGCAAATATATTGTGTATTTTGAATTGCGTTTGAGCAATATATGGTTATTAATTGAGCGAACTTTACAAGGCAAAATTGTCTTTATATAGTAAATAGACTTTATTTAATGTTTATGGCATTTTAAACGTAATTTTATCCACAAAAACACTGATTTAAGTTGTTTGAATGATCGTGAATATGGTTTAGTGAATTTGTGCGTTTTAGTGCAAGATCTTGCAAGATAGTCAATATTTCAGAGCAATGCGTTATATATATGAACAACAAACTGATAAAATCCCTCTAAGTTTCGAGATGTTCGATAAATACGCTTTAACTTATGCTGTGGCAAGTGATTAGCAGGCATTGTGCTTAATCCTCCGTCAACGCGGTTCCATAAATCAAAAATTTTCAGCAGCCTATTCATTAAATTGAAAAGGGATCTTTTACAATCGTTTCTTGCTTAAAACAGCTGTTTTTTCTTCCGCTCTTAAAAAGGAAGGCGTTCAGATATATGATAATTACCAAACGTGCGTATGACAGGCTGATCTAATATCACAAGATATCGCATCTTAACTGATTGTAAACAATATTCTAACCATAATTTGCCGCTTATTTTTCCGCCGTGAATCAAAACAGGTTGTAATGTATAAAAACGTTATGACTACATTTGTTGTGCATGTCATAAATGCTAGTTTGTTTTGAAAAATGCGATGATGAATACATTGAATGTATATTATAAAGCATTTCGTGCGAAATGATTGATATATCACACTTTGTTGAGACTTTAGTCTGCCAGCGAAATATACAGTTACAAGGCAATTTAATGTTTTTGTAGGTTTAGAGCAATGAACGAGTCTGTCGGCTGAATTGGATAAGAGTAAACAGTTGTATGCCTACGAGTTGACCTAATTTGTGAAAGAATTCTATATAGAATAAATGATCTTAAGGAAAAATTATTTTTAACTATACACTTATTTTCACTTCCAGTTAAGTTTCGTTTGTGTAATGTAGAGTAATTGCGGTGAATAGAATTGTTCCTAAACACATCCATAAGGGACCTCTTGTGACCCTACATGCCGGGTATATTCTGCGGTCTGAGCTTCAGTAAGGTATCAACAACACTGGGATCAGCTAGGGTCGTTTGATCGCCAAATGACGAGTTACCCTGAGCAAGCTCACGAAGCACACGGCGCATGATCTTACCCGAGCGAGTCTTGGGAAGGCCTGGGGCGTATTGTATGACATCCGGGGTCGCTATGGCGCCAATTTTCTCCCGAACTAAGAGGGAAAACAATTCGCTCTTACTACCAGAAATATTAACAGAATATTTTCAGAAAATAAAAAGATAAACACCCCACCTTTTTCCTTTAGCTCTTTGACCAACTCGTTGGTAAATTCAAATCCCTACGACAGAGAGGCAAACTTAGGAGTAAAACTTTACTGCGCCAGTATAAACAATAAATATTCACGCCATTTCACAATATATATTCACGGTAGGAAATTGCATTGAACAATACCTGCATTAATGTTGTATAACAGAATATACCAACGCCTTTGATATTATGTTGATACCCAACCTACGGAAATAACACAATATATACATTCATCGTTCTTCTGTCTGTGAGAAAATATTCGTTTGAAAAAAGCGGGAAAAGAACATTTTCTGATTGTGAATTGCTTCGGGGGTAACAGTAAAGTTCATCTTAAGATAAGAGGAGCAGAGTGTGGGAGAAAATTTGAAAGTGTGGCTCTGTATATGATAGGAAATAACGAAACTAGTTTGATGGAGTAGCGAGCTGAGATTGTAAAATATTTTATTGTATTCCGAGGGATTTTCTGCGAGGGGTTAAGGCTTCCCGTGAGCTTTTAAATGTTAGATAATAAAGTAATATGAACAAGGATAAAATAAGGAAACGCAAGGAAGGATTGATGTTTACCACAGCAGCTTCAGAAACAGCTCCATGTTCGACCAACGCGCTCTCAATCTCAGCTGTGCTCAGCAAATGACCTGAGACATTCATACAGTCATCCACGCGACCCACTATCCAATAATATCCATCTTCGTCCCGTTTGCATTCTGAAATGAAACGCGCGTAGTTCAAATGAAAAAAATGGAAAAAAACTACCCAGTATCCATATAATTTTAGCATGATAATTTGAAAGATGTGGTAAGTGCCACAGTACCATCTCCAGTATAATAATATCCTGGGAATTTCTTGAAGTAGACGGATTCAAAGCGATCGTGGTCACCGTAGACTGTTCTTAGCATACCAGGCCAGGGTTGTTTCAAAACCTGGGCAAGAAATACGCGTGTCAAGGTGTTGGATGTCAAAGGATGAAAAATTTTGAAGATGAAGTCTTTTCAAATATAAAAATGAATCAAAGCTCTACCAGAACGCCTTCGCAGGGTCCTTCCAACTCATTTCCATCTTTGTCAACGATTGCTGGAACGACTCCGAAAAACGGGAAAGTCTAATCGAGAAAAGAATTATGGGATATCATAAGGAGGTTTTCGACCAATCATAGTTCAGAATACGCTCACGTGACGTGTCGATGGCGACATACCGCTGACCCAGGTTTCATTGGAGTAGCCCCAGGAAGTGGCGTGATCACGTGTCCACCCTGAAACATACATAACCATCAGCATTAAGCATAATAACAACCACAATATTACAGCTGAAATTTTAGCGGAATCAAGTGAGATCCCAGCGTAACAGGTTAGACCAGTTTCTAAGCAGTTACAACGAAGCTGGGCAACCCTGTTTAACCTCTCCAACCCGGGTAACCAGGATCTTATAAACAAGTCCACGACAACCATACCGTTTCTGTCTGCCAGTACGTATCAACAACAGGACATTGTCTATTCCCGACCACATTACGATACCACAACCAGGCTTCAGGGTTGATTGGCTCACCCACCGTACCAAGGATCTTCAGAGAATCACGATTGTGTCTGGAAATATAAACTTAAGGTTGACGGAGCTGCCCGGAACCTGCAAAGACCTCTCTGAAGGCTAGTTTCCACTCAGGAAAAATCTCCTTTGGATCGGAACGGACAGGAAAATTTCCTTTGTCGGTGAATTCTCAGGCAGCGTTTATACAAAGGAAACTTTCCTATCCTGTCCGATCCAAAGGAGAAACGTAACCATATACTCTAAGGCCTAGGTTAAACCATGCATTTTGGTTGCGTCGAATGCAATTCAAGCAATAGATAGCATGATAATGAAGCTTTAAAGAGATTTACCATCTCATTATCAATTGTTTCAATTGCATTCGACCTGAGAAAAAATGACGTTTGCACTAGGCCTCAGTTCCTAATACAACAAGGTTCGTCAACAATCCTTACTTTTCCACCAGATCCTTTCCAAATCTCATCAGCGACCTGATGGCAGTTGGCGCTGTGTAAAATTTCGAAATTTTATACTTCTCGCATATTGCCCACATTCTTCCAGCGTCGGGATAGGTTGGCGCTCCTTCGAACTAAAAAACAAAGAGAGAAAATCCTCGTCATTCATCGTATGACCAGTTCTTCGGAACTTCTTAAGCCTTGCATCACAGGATTTTCAGTATAAGATGAAAATAGCGGATTCCCAGCTTAATCTAAAAATCAAACTAAACAGACTCAATTTACACTGGACAAAAAGTTCCTAGCTAAAATAGCTAAAATATACACTGCCAGACTACAAAATACAACTACACATACAACTACAAAATACGAGGATACAAACATTTGGAAAATTTGTAGTGTTGTTTTGCTTACTAACCATGACACTCGTAGCACCGTTTGCCATTGGTCCGTAGGTGATGTAACTATGGCCAGTAATCCAACCAATATCAGCTGTACACCAGTACACCTCACCAGGATGGTAATCAAAATCATATCTGAAATATATCAATGGGAGATATTATTTTCTTTGCCATAAACTTAGATCAGAAATCATTTCATCAAATTGAAATGAAGTGGAATATGGCTTATCACCAAATCTTATTCCTTGTTCTAAGAGTTTTTGCATTCTGAGACCTTCAGACTTACTTGAATGTTGTTGCAGTATACAGCATGTAACCAGCTGTCGTATGAAGAACACCTTTTGGCTTACCAGTTGAACCACTAAATCAAAATTAAAAATCATTGAGGAAAAATATTTTGCAAATTGTTCCTCATAAATTTTGCTTGAGGGTGATATTTTCTCATCAAGTTGTATAGTTTAAAAACTTAGGTCAGCCGCAAGACAGGAATATGGACATGCCTGGTGTAAAGCATGAACAAAGGATCTTCAGCATCCATCCATTCTGGTTCACAAGTCGTCTCAGCTGTCTTCATCTCATCATGCCACCAAACATCCACCCTGTCATTCCAATTGATCTGATCCAAAAGAAGAGATAGTTATCAAAAAATGGCAACAAATTATGATCAAGTTGACGGCCAATTGTCTTGAGGCCATGACATGATAATGATGAATGTTCAGTGAACAGGAGCGACATACCATACCTGGATATTACTGGGACATACCTGGATATTACTGGGACATACCTGGATATTGCTGGGACGTTCTGGAGCATCTCTATATTTATCTCCATTTTTTTGAGATGATCCTAAATGTTTAACTACGATACTAAGTGGCACTGGATGTCCCCTGTTTAGAGAAAGAAAGACATGACTTTTTACACAAATACCATACAGTAATTAGCATCACAATAAATTTTTGCAACCAATATGTGTGTGCTAGGATTGCTTCAGAGGTTTAGGGTTGGGCAATGTTTTACCTGAAGGAACTTATTGCAATGCATAAGAAATTGTAACATAATTCTAGGACCTTATAGTCTATGTAAAGTTGATTGCATTTAAAAATAATTTGCCAGCTGTTTCGTGATTCTTACATTTGTTCACTAATAACCAAGGCTTTATCCGCAATGGACTTCAATTCCAACAGCTTCATACCACGGTAATAACCATCTAAAATATGCATTATATCCATCAGCTAGTATTAGGTATCTGGTTCGTATTTCACCATGTATAGACATCAGATGATTTTACAAACATTTTTTATTTGCTGGTTTACCCACCTGCGGTTATCAGCAAGGAACATCTTGAGTCGACCAAGCGCTCTCCGAGAGCTTGTGACGAAAACCCAGCAAACTATGTTAAACATACAAATAATAAATATTATATCTATACGGATACTGATTTTTTTAGTATTCCAGCCTGCTAAATATAAGCTCCAATGCCTGATAAAATTTTCCTAATGTGGAACATAATACATTGTCTGAATTAATGTCATATAGATATCTTGTAGTTGCAAGGACATTACATGGTGCAATGCAGAAAATGATTATGAAAGGAGACAATTCTTTACCACAATGGAATGAACAGCTCCAATCCTTGCGCAAGCCAACATGGCAACCACCAGCTCAATGATCATAGGCAGATAAATGGCAACTCTGTCACCTTTTTTAACACCTGAACAAGTGCAAAAAAAGGGTTTACATGTGCACAAATGAACATGCATAATTCACACAAGACACTGGCTAATTTCTTGTAGGACCATAGCTGAAATGCAGCATACCACAATATTATACAAACCTTTTGCCTTGAGAACATTTGCAAACTTACAAACTTCTACCAACAATTGTCCGTAAGTGATCTCACTACAATCTCCTGGATAATTACCCTCCCTGAGAAAGAAAGACACCGTCATCAGCACAATAGATTGAAAATGCAAATTTCAGGCTTGTAGGGAACTCATTTTTCATGCAAAGACTCCATATCAATTGTGAAAGACATCAAGACTGTGCAAATTATATATAGTTTTGTTCCTAACATCCAACAACAATTCGAAGAGTTGGCCAAGAAATCAGAATTGGACTTCCTGCTACAAAGATATAAAGTCCATTTTAAAAGGCTTGCAAAGTTCATATCTATCCCATGAAATGTACATTTGAATAGGCAGTAACTAAGAGCAGAATATTATAGTTGTTTGGGACAAAAAAGTGCTTACATTGCAGATCCGTTGTTGAATTTTGTCACCCCAAAACTAATATTTGCAGATAGCATTTAAATGAGCAACTATTATATGCATAAAAAACAGACAGGCTTGCTTCAAAACACAAAAATATAAGCAGGATACTACAATATGGCCCTAAATGGCGATATTATTTACGTTACTACACAGCAGTCTGCAGGATAGGCAGCAACGCGCATCTAGACTTTGTTCCCATCTCGCTTTTGCAAAGTATTTTGCAATATCCTGAGGCTGCAATTTGGTAATCGCATAAAAAATCTTTATCGTTTTATCCTAAACTGCTACAGCTACAATGAAAGCTTTCCATATTTCATGAGCTACCTGCATGACCGATAGACCACGGTCATTGAACCAAAGTTACCAAACTGTGCAAGAAGTCAAACATAGTAAAATACTAACCAGTAAAATGCAACAGTATTTTCGCCGTTTTTTTCTTTTACAATCCTATCCAAGACATTATAACAAATATTAGTTTGAGCTCCTTCCATCCACTTGATGAAAATAGGTCCATTTTCAACGTTGAAGTTGAAGGACAAGAAGGTAGTTGGAAGTTTATGCCAGTGGAACTGCTGTGCAATCTCTCCCCAAAAGCCTTCGGGATCTTCCACAGATCGCTTGTACATTTGCTGGTATTGCTCCATGCTTTTGACGTGAGCTTCAACAGCAATCCTGCTGTCTGGCTGGACGATGCCATGAAGTTCTTTGTCGCTATGTTCAAATAAAACATGATCAGAAAGCTGGCGTCTTGTAGTGACTGCCATGTTGGCGCTGTTCGCAAGAGTTCCCCCTGATTCGTCGTTTGTATCGCCGACTAATTTGGCGATACTTTGACAAAGTGATCGGCAAAATTTACTCTTGAGTCACATTTTCTAATTAGCACCCTGCTACAACTTGAAAGTCGATTGATCAATTTTGTCGCATCCAATTCGCTTCTACAGTATTGTAACAAAACTGCGTTAGCTTTAGTTGATTTGCTACCCATATGCATTGCAATTCGACTATAAAGGCGATGTTACACCTACCAATTTTCAACACCAACCGATCGCAACGCAACCATACGCAAAAATTTGTGTTGTGTGGATTAAAAACAGTTCATAAACTTTCAACTTGTTTCTGAAACAATTTCTGCATGCTCATATATACTGTATTCGACGCGTAAACCTGTTTGGAAACATTGCTGCGTTGAGTGTTGAAAATTTCTTTATGTCACATTTACCTTAAAACGTTTGTATCAGAAGTGGATTGAATCGAACAAAATTGGATCGTGTGAACACACCTTAAGATGAAACAATAATTCTTTTCACTTGCAAATCACATAAAATCTATATTTTCCATTACGTTATTAATAATAATATTTCACATTTATATTGCGCACATTCTAAAACCCATTATAGTTTACTAGCGGTAATAATAATATTTCACATTTATATTGCGCACATTCTAAAACCCATTATAGTTTACTAGCGGTAATAATAATATTTCACATTTATATTGCGCATATTCCAAAACCCATTATAGTTTACTAGCGGTAAAAGTAATAATATTTCACATTTATATCGCGCATATTCTAAAACCCATTATAGTTTACTAAGGCCTCCCATTTTCCAAAATGGCCAGTTCTAATTGGAGTTCTAAGACCACATTGGAAGAGCTCAAATTTCAAAAATTCTCTGCAGAGCAGCTATCATTTACAACCCAGAGGAGGGTTCGTGCTCTCGTGCCAACAACACATGTTAGCAAATCTTGAAGTAGCTATAGAATGGGCAGTTCTCAGGAAATTTTTGTTAGGATGACCCCTGTAACAGTTTACATGGCAATTCATGTATGCGTATATGAGTTAAACGATCCCGTAAAACTATATCATGTCATGAATAAAGCGAAAAAACCTCTAACAATTTTAGGACTTGGTGAATACGGGGGGCAGGCAGGATAATTAAACTGGAGAATCATGCATGCAGGTATAAAAAACTCGTTGATTGTTTTCCTGTTTTAACTGTCTTAAGGCTAGCGTTATATTATTGCTATTATTTCAGCAAAAAACCCTATTTTTTGTGCATCTCTGCATAGGTTTTAATCTAATAAATATGTTTGAGTCATTTTTTAGGTCGTTCTTCAGGTGACGATTTCTTACAGACCGTTTTTCTTTGTCATTGACCATTTGTCATCCCAGGTATATTCTTCGGTCTTTGTGACAGCAGTACGCCAACAATCTCAGGATTTGCGAGAGTCTCGGGCATATCGTCAAAATTTTCTTTGCCGTTAGCCAGCTCTCGTAGAATACGGCGCATGATCTTACCCGTGAGGGTCTTAGGAAGGGCTGAGGCAAATTGTATCACATCTGGTGTTGCGATTTTTCCAATCTTTTCCCGAACTACAATAAACGAAAAAAACAGACCTTAATTTAGTCTGACTACAAGATGAATAGTGAAAGATAATTTCACTAAATAATGGGTAAAACACCACCTCTATCTTTTAGCTGTTCGACCAACTCGTTTGAAAATTCACAGCCCTGAAACACAAGAAACTTTAAGCTACAACTACGCCACGCAGACATGTCATGTATACATAGCAAATGTCACAAATTGCACTGAAGAATACCTCGTTTAAAGTTGTATAACAGTATACACCAACTCCTTTGACATTATGTTGATACCCAACCTACAGAATTCCAACACAATATAACAACACACTTCTCTGGGAACGTCGAGAAGAAATACATCTTTTAATTGCAAATCCCTGCATTTGCATTAGGTCTGTGTGACCTGTTTCCTGTGCCCCGAGGGTTGCTCTCCTGCTAGACTTTCCTTGAACCACAGGCATAGAGTGTCGAATATAATAAACAATCATAAAATAGGCTAAAGCAAGGAAACACAAAGAGGAGTGATATTTACCGCAGCGGCCTCAGAAACGGCGTCATGGTCAACCAACGCGCTCTCAATTTCAGCCGAACTCAGCAAATGACCTGAGACCTTAAGGCAGTCATCTACACGACCCACTATCCAGTAGTATTTACCTTTGTCCCGTCTGCATTCTGAAATAAAACGGGTTATAAGTGCGGTGGAAAGGTGACTAAACCATCCTGTATCAATAATATTCGTGCCACAGTACCATCTCCAGTGTAATAATATCCTGGAAAATCCTTAAAGTAGACGGATTCAAAGCGATCGTGATCATCATAGAGTGTTCTCAGCATTCCAGGCCAGGGCTGTTTTAACACCTTAACAAAAAGCAAAAAAAGATAAGTTGCAAAATTTCTATAAATAAATATATTGCATTTACGAATAAAAAAAATGATACAGTTTCAACGTCTGTTAAGGGGTTCAAAATCCCAGTGACTTCCATACTCGTAACGAACTTACTTAGTTATATAAGAGTTTCCTATCTGTTTAAACATAAAATTTTAGCAAAGTCCTACCAGAACTCCTTTGCACTCCCCTTTTAACTCCACTCCATGCTTGTCAACGATTGCTGGAACGATGCCAAAAAACGGGAAAGTCTAATCGAAAAAATAATTGAATATTATAACGGAGTTGTTATCAAACCAAATGTCAGAATACGATCACGTGACGAAGAAAACGGCGAGACATACCGCTGACCCAGGTTTCATTGGAGTGACACCAGGAAGAGGTGTGATCACGTGTCCACCCTAAAACATCACATAACCCGATTGATGACAATAACCAATTTATTTTTTTGCAATGTTTATGTCATCATATACGGGGTGTATCAAAAAAATGCGACTACAACAATGTTTGGCTTCTTTTTTCAGTAATCTGGCAACCCAGATACGCGAGTCGATGATTCGCACTGAAAAAGGTATTCCTGGTCTAGCATTATGCTTGAACTGAAACTACACGAGGTTTTTACGTTAAATAGCGCAATACCGTTTCCGTCTGCCAGTACGTATCAACTACGGAACTTTGTTCGTTGCCAACGGAATTACGATACCACTCCCAAGCTTTAGGGTTGATTGGCTCGCCGGCCAAACCAATGACTTTCATTAATTCAGGATTAGGCCCAATACTACAAGTTCAATATACAATGATATAGAGCTACCCAGGGACGTCTGGGTAGATTTCCTCAGAAATCTAATCAATATAATAACACTAGTCTTGATTTTTAACGCAAATCATTATACGTTCAGTTCTCAGACAATATTTCTTACTTTTTCACGTCTTCCCTCTTGCTCATAAGCGACCTGACGCCAGTCGGCGCTGTGTAAAATTTGGAAACCTTATATTTCCTACATATTTCCCACATCCTACTAGGATGAGGATACGCTGGTGCTCCTTCGAACTGAAATATGAAAGACAGGGGGTTTTACTTACTAAACAGCCAACTTATAACAGGGTCCTTCTGGACCTCTCAGTTTCATCTAGCGGTTCTCCTCTGTAGTAGTACATGTAAATTTATAAAAAAAACTTCAAGTTGATTTTAAGAGGGTTTTTTAAGGTAGAAATTTCTGCTCTAAACTGCTCTTTCTAAAGATGTAGCAGGGCTAATCTTTCCGTTATAGTCTTACTAAAAGAAAAAAACAGACTTTTTAAACTTTCATCACGCAAGGTGAAATTACAATATCAACCAGCACTGAGCACTATATTATACCTCTGGCCTGAGATTCAGGTTAGATCACAATCAACACAAACATCTGAGGAAACCACGTCCTTGAATATACTTACTATGACACAGGTGGCACCGTTTGCCATTGGACCGTAGGTGACGTAACTATGGCCAGTCATCCAACCAATATCAGCTGTACACCAGAACACGTCACCAGGATGATAATCAAAAACATACCTGGAAGGAAAGAATTTTACCCGTGGAGTAAGCTATATTTCCATTTCCTGATTTCCAATGAGGGAAATTATCTATAGATCTCTCAAATCAATTTCACACTAGTAATTAATACTAAACTTTGAAAACATTTAATATTATTACCTTGTTGTGTACGTCATGCACACAGAACTTACTTGAATGTTACTGCAGTATAAAGCATGTAACCAGCTGTGGTATGAACAACACCTTTTGGATCGCCAGTTGAACCACTAAATCAAAATAAAAACCTCTCCTATTAATTTTTGGATTGATGAAAAAATTCAAACAGTTTGGTTAGTCTCTTTTTCAATAGATTTATTTAGGTAGAGTCTGTTTCGTTTTTGTCTGTTTTCGTATTTCTTTTTACACTTGGTTAACTATATAATTTAATATCTTGGGTCAGCTGCTAAATAGGAATATGGACATGCCTAGTATAAAGAATGAACAAAGGATCTTCAGCGTCCATCCATTCTGGTTCACAAGTCGTCTCAGCTGTCCTCATCTCATCGTGCCAGCACACATCCACCCTGTCATTCCAATTGATCTGAAAATAAAAATATATTATTTCTACAGATATGCTTGAATGTTAACATTAACCTCTTGACTTGCTGACATCTTAACTTGCATGTTTTTATACTTTTGATTGGCTTGCACAATGATATCCTCACAGGTTAAAAATTGTATATATATATATATAATTATATATGACCTGGGTGACAGAACTTTAGCATTGACTGCATATTCTTGTTCAGAATTAAAAAAGCTTGCAAGTGAACCTGGGTTGTATTAGATTTAGTGATTTACGTGATTAATAACTGCAATAAAGGACATACAGGAATACTTGGACATTCAGAATTTCCATTTCTATCAGATGATAGTAAATGTTGTAAATGTCTTACTACGATACTGACAGGCACTGATTGTCCCCTATATGGAAAAAAACACAACTTGATTCACGGCAATTTCTATGTTAATTAGAAATTTCTGGTTGTGAATTGTGATCACAGGGTTTTTTGTTGCAAAATCTTGCTGCAATGATAATTCGATTAAAGCTTAACAAAATCTAGTAAATACGAGAGCACCTTTGCTTACTTTTGTTCACAAATAGCCAAGGCTTTATCAGCAGTTGGCTTTAGTTCCAACCGGTTTCCATCACGGTAATAACCATCTAAAAGATACATTAACTTCATTAGCTAGCAATATGTCCAGCTAGTTTGTATATATTAATATATCACCATTGCCAGACTGTTTTACCAGCTTGACCATTGACCATTAACAGCATAACTTTAGTTCAAGAGCTAGCATACCATACCTGCTGTAATCAGCAGTGAACATTTTGAGTGCATTAAACGGTGTGCTAAGGCTTGAGGTGAAAACCCTGCAAACTTGATAAATATTAACACAGGATTCATATTAAAATATTTGTAAATAATAAACTTTTCTATTAGCATTTATTAGTTACCTGAATTAATTTGTGTACATGCTTTCTTAATGCCACTATATGCTGAAAATTATTATGAAAGAAAAGAATTTTTTACCACAACTGAATGAACAGCTCCAATTCTTGCGCAAGCCAACATGGCAACTATCAGCTCAATGATCATAGGAAGATAAATGACAACTCTGTCACCCTTTTTAACCCCTGAACAAGATAAAAACAATGGTTTGAATATGCATATAATATACTTGTGTCATATTTAACTAACATGCTGCCTATATTTGTTTGCTGAACCATGACTTAAACAAAGTACTACAATATCACAAACCTTTTGACTTGAGAACATTTGCAAACTTACAAACTTCCACCAGCAACTGTCCGTATGTGATTGCAATATGTTTGTCTGGATGATCACCTTCCCTGGTAAAAATGCAAAGTTTTAGAACAATTAATTGCTATCAGGCAGCAAATTGCATTCATTGGTTAGCCTTTATTTTCTCGTCTCGTTACAGCAAAGATGAAAAATAGAATTTTATGTCAATATGAGTTTATATTCTGCAACTGCCGGTAAAATATACTAACCAGTAAAATGCAACAGTATTTTCACTATTTTTTTCTTTTACAATCCTATCCAAGATATTATAACAAACATTGGTTTGAGCTCCTTCCATCCACTTGATGAAAATAGGTCCATTTTGAATGTCAAAGTTGAAAGACAGGAAGGTAGTTGGAGGTTTACGCCAGTGGAACTGCTGTGCAAACTCTCCCCAAAAGCCTTCAGGATCTTTCACAGAGCGCTCGTACATTTGCTGGTATTCCTCCATGCTTTTGATATGGGCCTCTGCACGGACATCAGCATGTGGTAGGATGACATGGTAAAACGTTTTGCTGTGTTCAAAGAAAAACATTATCAGAAAAGATAAATATCAAGATGTCAGTCAAATGAGTCAATCTTTTTGATGAAAGTCTGCACATGTAAAGATATTTTGAAATTTTGATGTTTGTATCACACTGCACAAATTAAAAATCGAGTTTGGCATTAATTTGCAAAACAGATGGATGTATTTGCACAAATGGATATTGCAAATTTCGAATTTGCTAGCAAGGATATTCGTAATAGCCCAGCCAAACTCTGTGCAAACTCAAAATTTGGTTTGGAATGCTGCAAATCTAATACAAATAACAAATCTAAGTTTTCATCCTGTCATCATAGATATATTTTAGTGGAGATGATACAAAATACTTTACTAATTACTGTGCTGCGTAGTGTGAACCATGCAACTGATGCAAGATGTATTAATTTACTCTATCTAATAACAGGCAATTATTATAAAACGCAATTTTACTTCTTTTGTATTTCTCAATCCAAAGTTGAACTAGATCCGAGTATATCTCCAGTTCAAATCTATTAGGCTATGTGCACACGAGAGTCGTTTTCGAGCGTTTTCAATATCGTTTTTGTCTATATTTAATATTGTTTTGTCCACACAATCCGAGGGAAAATATCCTCAATATGCTAAACTAGCGTCAACTTCTATTGTAAATTGACGATGCTTGAAACAGTTTTGGGATGAAAACGAATGTGAAAACGCTCGAAAACGTTACCGTGTGCACATTATTGCCTTAATCTATATAAAGTTTAGCGATCCAAAATAGTGATAATGTGATATGTAGACGGAACACTTATATTGAAATGTTTAGCAGCGCAAAAGTAAACAATGAGTTTGTTTACATATGAAACATACTTAATAAAGACCTTTTCAACCTGAAACACAAGTATTTAAGATACTGTGACCTGTCACCAGGAGTCTTACAAGCTTATCATCGTTGGAGCAGCATTAAAACCTTTTATATATGTCTTTGTTTGGTTTATTTAGTTAGATTAATGAACTAATGAAGCTACAAAATATGCTACAAAATATGACGATGTTGCATAAAATTACATGCAGCACAAACGTCGCAGATATTGAAATAAAAACAAAACTTGAAAAAGGGGATCGCGCCTGGTTCGCCCCACACCAGGATCACTGTATAGGCATGAATAACTTTCACATGAAAAGCTATTAAGAATAAAAGCAAGCATGCTCATGAAGTGTAAATAATAAATCTAGTTAACAAAAGATAAAAAAAATATCGAAACTAACCCGAATACGTCCAGTGATGGGGTAGCGTAAGACGGAAAAAAACTATCTTCTTTCTCACTCGTCTGCATGGATCCCGCTTGATCACCCATATTTCAATTACGGGAACAACTAGCTAAATCAAACTCGTAGAAATTCTCTGTTCTCCAACGCCATCTTTGGTGTCAGCTGTGGTTTCACTTTCGCGGACTTTGCCCTGTTTTTAACCAGGTTTTGTTCAGTTAAAGTACCGTCTGCGCCCTGCGGTGCGCACGCCCGACTATATAATATTTTGCGTTATCATCATCAGTAATTTCTGCCCATAACATTGCAAGTCAACAAACTATAAAAAATCCATCAAAAGTGACTTTGTACCCAAGAAACTGGAAATAAGTTTTCGGTCCGTAAAATTGGACCGTGGGAACCATCGACAAATCCTTTCTTTGCATTTACAAAACGCAACTTGTTTCCTGGTAAATTCATCTCTCAAATGGCAAAGACAGTTTTCAATTACAACCACACTAGTTCTCTTTTTGTTTCCCATGATTTTTCTTTAGTAATAAACTTGGTGTCATCATTCCTGATCACTTCAACCACTCAAAACTGAAACACTGAAACAGAAGCGCAAGGCAACAGTAAAAAGCCGGATTAACGCATATAAAATGTTACTACTTATTATATTTGTCATTTTTACACGTTCCAAATTGTGATTACATGTTTAAAACTACAGCGGTGTTGTGATAAATATTAATGTTCTTAATAAACTGCAACGCAGTGGCAAACTTGTATATATATAATAAACATTACAACTCTGTGCACTTTTCCCGAACGGCTGAAGTCTGTTTCCAGTGATTTACACAACTTATATGATTTCAAAGAGTGAACGACGATAGTGGATTAGGATACGTTTTAACGTGCTACAGAGTTGGCAGGGTAGTCAAAGTTAAAACCTCGTTATTATTTGACCGATTCAATATTTTGCGTATCTCTGCATAGACTTTAAATAGTTTTAAACCATAAATATATTAAATAATTTTGCGTCTCGTGAAGGAAGTTATCCTGCTGGGGCCGGTTGTATCAAGCCCGTTTAGCTTAAACGCGGTGAGAACCTTTCCTTTGTCACTGAATGACTCACATCCCTGGTATATTCGTCGGTCTATATTTCAGCAATTCGTCAACAATCTCAGGATTTGCAAGAGTCGCGGGCAGATCGTCAAATTTTTCTTTGCCGTTAGCCAGCTCTCGTAGAATACGGCGCATGATCTTACCCGTGAGAGTCTTAGGAAGGGCTGGGGCGAATTGTATCACATCTGGTGTTGCGAAGGCTCCAATCTTTTCCTGAACTATAAAAGAAAGATAGATTTAATTCAGTCTCACTACGAGAAGAATAAAGGGGGCTACGAGAAGGGGGTATTTTTAAATTATGGGGTAAAAACACCACCTTTTGCTTTTAGTTCTTCAACCAGTTCGTCTGAAAACTTGTATCCCTGCCGAAAATTGAGAAACTTGAATATAAACTTTTACTGCAAACACTAGGATATTCAATGTCATAAATTGCTTTAAACAATACCTTCGTCAACGTTGTATAACAGAATATACCATTTCCTTTAATTCTATGTTGATAACCAACCTAGAGAATTAGCGGGATAAAAACATATTACTCAAGTGTCTATAAAGTGTGTCGAAAGAGATTATAAGAAACACAGGCAGGCGATATGTCTTCGAAAGCACAAAGTTTTCTTCGCTTCAACAAGAAAAATTTCCCAAAACTATATCGCTAAATCAAGGAAACGCAAGGAAGGACTGATGTTTACCACAGCGGCTCCAGAAACAGCCACATGTTTGACCAACGCGTTCTCAATTTCAGCCGTGCTGAGCAAATGACCTGAGACATTTATGCAGTCATCCGCGCGACCCACTATCCAATAATATCCATCTTTGTCTCGTTCGCACACTGAAATACAATGCGTATAATCCAGTGGTATAATCAGTTTGTATGAATGGATAAAATATTACTCTCGTATATCATTGGATAAAATATCACATCTCGTATAAAATACTCTCGTATCTCGTATCTCGTATCTCGTATACCATTACAATTGAAAGTTGTGGTAAGTGTCACAGTACCATCTCCAGTGTAATAATATCCTGGGAATTTCTTGAAGTAATCTTTTTCAAAGCGATCGTGGTCACCATAAAGCGTTCGTAGCATACCAGGCCAGGGTTCTTTGAAAACCTGAACAAAAAAAGAATAGAGATATTTTACAACCGATGTTGGAAAATAGGTTACTAACTATTGCATTTTTAGGTAAGAAATTATTTACCGAACACACAACTTAGTTCAATATCAGTTTATGAATTAGTTTACAAAAAATTTAATACCAGAACTCCTTTACAATCCCCTTCTAACACTTCCCCGCGTTCGTTAACAATTGCTGGAACGATTCCAAAAAACGGGAAAGTCTAATAGAGAAATAATTGAAATTTATAATGAATAAACTTTTAATAAAAACAGATTTATATTATATAATAATATATAATTTATTTCGAGTGTTGAGAATGATATCGAACGAGTGAACGCATGTATTATTCTCCATATCTTACGATGCTGTTATCTAATTAAATGCACCGATTAAACCTCAGAATACCATCATGTGACAAAGCAATCGGCATAATTGGTATACTAAGAGTGGAACATACCGCTGACCCAGGTTTCATCGGAGTAGCGCCAGGCAGAGGCGTGATCACGTGTCCACCCTGAAAGATAATATATAGAGAGCTTCAGATTTGACTACGGCTCTTGCTACGGCTACGAGATTCGTCACTGTGGCGCGAAACAAACGTTGTATGCATACGCCACCTCGTACTGGCATGATAAACCTCTGCAAACACAATAATAAATGCAAGTTTATCCTGTCAAATATTTCGGAAATTTTACGCCAACTATTTCGAAAAATACACATAATCAAAGGCCACGGTCACGAAAAACAGTTCTCTCAAATTATTTTCTGGAAAAAACGAGAAAATGTAAACTTTTATTACTTTTTAAATCACGTAGTGAGGACTACGAAGTTTCCTTAAAATGCCGTAGTCAGATGAGCGACGGCTACGAGTGTGTGGCCTCAGTACGAAGTATCACGAATATCACGTCCATGTGACGAATCTCGTAGCGGTAGCGGGAGCCGTAGTCAAATCTAAAGCTCTCTAATAATAACTGTATAACATGAAAGCAACCATGTAATAAATACATTATTTAAATCAGAAAACCATGCATATTTGGGGTGTTATCGTTAACCAGCACTGAAACAACAGATTAAGATATATTGTTTGTGATAGCCTAAATTTCAATCCATACCGTTTCTGTCTGCCAGTATGTATCAACCACAGAGCTTTGTTCATTGCCAACAACATCACGAAACCACCACCAGGTTTCCGGGTTGATTGGTTCACCAACTGAGCCAAGAACTTTCAAAAGTTCAAGATTGTATCTGATAATAATAGTTTAGAACTAATCAGCGAGTGAATAAATTTCTGGGGAAATATAATCATAGATACACCAGTCTTCGTTCTTAACGCAATTCATTTCTTCGAAAATCCTCACCCCTCCACGGCTTCTTCCCCATATGTCATCAGTGATTTGATGGCAGTTGGTGCTGTGTAAAATTTGGCAACCCCTAGTCTCTGACATATTTCCCACATTCTGCTGGGATCAGGATAAGTTGGTGCTCCTTCGAACTAAAAGAATATTTTTCTCCTAAGCAACGATATCTCATGACAAGTAATTTACAGTGCTAAAAACACATAAGGTGTAGGGCTATATATGAAATGAACATTGCAATGACCCAGAGTAGCATAATATATACATTTCATCTCATGATATGTTCATACGAGTTGGCAGAAACCAGTTTGAATTAGGCTGTTTTTCAGGGGGTCTGGTAATAGCTTTAACTATCCAATTACCAACTTAGCATCAAATGTGGTATAACAACTGCCTAAATAGACAAAACACTTCTCGACGTTTCGACCTGAGGGCCTTCGTCAGGAGAGTTACTATGACTCTTCTGACGAAGGTCCTCAGGTCGAAACGTCGAGAAGTGTTTTGTCTATTTTAGGCAGTTGTTATACCACATTTGATGCTAAGTTGTTTGAAGACGCTGCAACGCTGCTCCCTGGTTATATTGGAACTTACCCAATTACCAACCCAATTCCTTATTAAAAACCTGTAAACTGCGAATATGTTCGATCCGAACAACAAGCAGGGTGACGATAGCACATCATTAGGCAAGCATTTAGAGAAAGTACGTTCATACTAACTATGACACAAGTGGCACCATTTGCCATTGGACCGTAGGTGATGTAACTATGGCCAGTGATCCAACCAATATCAGCCGTACACCAGTACACCTCACCAGGATGATAATCAAAAACATACCTGAAACATATCGATTAGCGCTAGTTCTAAGGGTAGGAAAAACGAATACCATGTGACAATTTGGACCGACGTGCGGTGTAAGGACGGGGTAGTGTCGCAGCTTCTCGCAAGAATGATTTTCATTGGCTGAACTTTACAATACATTTCTGTTTCAACCAATAGCATAGCTTCGTTCTTTAGAAAGCATAGAAAAGCATTATCCTGATTTATCCAATTGCACGAAAGCTTCCGAGAGCTGCGACATGTCCGTAAGGACGCTTTGCGATTTACAAAAGGTTTTTTTATCACACAAAACCAACAGAAACTATAGAGTATAGTCCAACTTTTTATTTTTTCCTTCATCAATTAGGATTAATGATCAAGTTAAATTGTCTTATTCTCTTATTTTCTAATACTAAATTTTATCAATTATATATCCAAAAACATGAAGACTGATATCTGGTGATCATGCACATAGAACTTACTTGAACGTTGTTGCAGTATACAGCATGTAACCAGCTGTTGTATGAACAACACCTTTTGGCTTGCCAGTTGTACCACTAAATGCAGTCCGATAAAAATTCGAAATAAAGGAAAATTGGTTTGATAAAGATGAAATACCACACTATGTATCTTGCATTCTTTACTGAACCAGAATGTTAATCTTACAAGATGTATATATTTATGTGGATGTATTTATGTTCAGTTTTTGACTTTTATCAAAAATGTTCTGCAATTTGCCCATAATCATCATATCTTGGCTGCATGATATTTTTTTCCATCTAGTTAACTTTGTATCATTCATACCTGGTGTAGAGAATAAACAAAGGATCTTCAGCATCCATCCATTCTGGTTCACAAGTCGTCTCAGCTGTCCTCATCTCATCGTGCCACCAAACATCCACCCTGTCATTCCAATTGATCTAAAATCAACAAAAAATATCATATTTATGTGGACCTGTAATTCTCATGCAATTCTAGGAAACAGACCAAGTAGGAAACAGAATTAAAGTATTAACCCCAATAGGTTCTAATTTACAATTTAAAAAAGGACAATGCAGATGTTTTTTACAACAAACATTCTGTACTGAATATGACTGAGATAGAGTAATCATAGACATTGTGTGAATATTAGGGACTTACCTGGATATTGCAGGGATGGTTTGGTGTGTGTAAATGTTTTAATACGATATTGAGTGGCACATGATGTCCCCTGTTATAGAGAAGAAAAACTTGACATGTCAGAATTGTATTCTATGGTAAATTGTTAATTAATGTAAACCCCTTGCGAAGTCAACCATATTGGGTCGCAAACTTATACTGTAAAAACAAATGGCAGACTATTTTTGAGGTACTTCATCATTGCAAGAATGTAATGTTTAATAGTGTTCTGTAAAGTGTGAAACTATTAGGTTATTTTATGAATTTCATCTGCGAAGCTTATTTCTGGTTGGATAGGCATGTCGTAGCTAAGTTATCTTGCTTACTTTCGTTCACTAATAGCCATGGCTTCGTCAGCATTTGATTTTAGTTCCCACAGGTCGGTACCACGGTAGTAACCATCTGCAAGATGTATTCAATTCTTTAGCTAGCAATGTACTTTTCATTTTTCATATTGCCAAACAACATTGGCTATTATATATAATATATGACCTACCTGCTGTTATCAGCAGGGAGCACTGCAAGTCCACTAAACGCTTTGCTAAAGCTTCATATGAAAGCCTAGTGAACTAAATATTAAATAAAGAGAGAAAAACATATAAAAGTGCTGTAAAATTTATTGATTGAAAAGATTACTACTTACCACAATGGAGTGAACAGCTCCAATCCTAGCGCAAGCCAGCATGGCAACCACCAGCTCAATGATCATAGGAAGATAAATGACAACTCTGTCACCCTTTCTAATACCTGAACATGTGCAAAAAGCATTAAATGCACACATATGTATAAAATATTTCAGTGGTATGCATACTCTTTATGAATTGCCACTCATAATCACCTGTGCCTTCTACTATGAAGTACATGCAGTAAGCCATATATAGCTAGGCTATAGAACTCAAAATCATCCTAACCCTAGATTTTTGGCAATGCACGTTTGCCAAGCATATATAGCTAAATCTATCAAATTTAGCATGAGTGGAAATAAATCAAAGACCATCATGTATGGATAAATTGCTAATTAATACATAAGCCACAGCCAAAATACCACTAACCTCTTTTCTTCAAAACATTTGCAAACTTACAAACTTCCAACAATAGTTCTCCATATCTGATTGCTTTATTATCACCAGGAAGATTACCTTCCCTGAAAAAAATACATGTTCATTATACAATTACTTAATGGTTTCCGTGTTTGGATGGCCTGATCCGAACACGGGCTTCAACTAATTAGAACACGGGTTATATACATGTTATTTTATAATAGCAATTACTGGTTCATTATAGGCATAAAGTTCATGTAATACCAGGTGATTTGACCCTTTAGTTGAAGAGTATATATCATGAAGTACATAGTGGACTGATGGTCAGCAATTTTACATAAATCACATAATGTAACAACTGTCGATGTTTGAATTCAAAAGAATCCAATTAAGAGTGGCTTGGTTAAGTTTTGTATTGTCAGGGAAAATCAACATGACCACAATGGCTTATTTCCCAATGAAATTATTTTCTATACATACACCTTGTATATACATTCATTGCATCTCAATACTGTAACAGCTACAATGAAAAATACCTGCCTGTAAAATACTCACCAGTAAAATGCAACAGTATTTTCACCATTTTTTTCATTTACAATCCTATCCAAGACATTATAACAAATATTAGTTTGAGCTCCTTCCATCCACTTGATAAAAATAGGTCCACTTTCTGGGTTGAAGTTGAAGGACAGGATTGTGGTTGGATGTTTATGCCAGAAGTATTGCTTTGCAATCTCTTTCCAAAAGGCTTTAGGATCATCCACAGATTGTTTGTAAATTTCCTTGTATCGCTCCATGCTTTTGACATGAGCGTTTGCAGTGAACATGATGTGGGGCAGAATGACGCGGGACCCATTTTCTTCGCTGTTTCAAATAAAGCATAATATAAATAAAACATGACAACAATGTTTTTGTTTAAGACAAGGCCAAATGCAATTTTATGCGACTCAAAGTCTCAAGGCAACGATAAGACGCAGGGTAGCGCTAAATTTACCGGGAAGCATCGTTTTCTAAATAAAAATATCGATTTGGCGTGCGGAGAAGTCGCTAAATAAAATATTAAATCAATAGAGAATACTCTAGAAAAATTGAACTTGACTACAGGTACAACAAATGATGCTGAAAGTAAGACAAATGTAAACAAAGCGTTCGCTTTTAATATATTTCGGCCATTAAACCACTTTACACTCATAAATGAATTGTGACCTGTCACGTAACTCACGTTAATTTGTTAACGTCTCAATATTACTTGGAGCAAGTCAATTCAAGGCTTTTATATCTGTCTTTGCAATGCGACGATGTCTCAATTTACATAAATAACACCTGAATTCATTGTAGTTTGGGGCTAAAATTCCTCAAGTCCGGTGTTAGGCGACTTAAGACGACCATATGACGTAGAGTACTCTTTTAAAATATCAAAAGAAAGCATCGTTCTTAAAAAAACTGAGGCTGGAATCATGCGTCCGTCGACCATAGGGAAGGACGAGACTATAAGTCCTTTATGCATAGGAATTGAACTAGTACAATAGCCTCTATAGACTATAGTCTATAATAATTGAAACATTGTTCTAAGAAAGGGATTATTACTGTATCGGTATGCAAGTCCGTAACTTAATAAACTTATCTCGTAAACCGCTATATTGAGAGCACTATAAAAGTATAGTATACATAATATAAATATAATGAAATGATAAGATCAAAGTCAAACTAACCCACATTCGTCTAGAGCGGCAATAATGAAAACTGATTGATGATCATGAGCCATATTTCAATATCAAAGTTGGGCGTTTATTTTGTGATTTTGTCCAACAGCGCCATAATTCGAAGAATTTGTAAAATGTGGTTTCCAAAACAGGTGCCTCGTACCCAGGTTCTTTTTTGGAAAACATAAAGGTTATATAAAGAACACATATAAACATATAAACTTGCATATTCAGCTACGATATAGAGATCGGTGGCCGTGAAAATGAGCGCGCAGGGGTGCTTCAGGTGGACCCTGGGTGGACGCATCGAAACCCAGTGGGAGCGGTGAACTATAATATAATTGACCTCTAAATACCGAGCATCACCACCCTTCTCCCCCCCCTCCAGATTTTGATTACAAGTTGTAAAACACACAAGGCAATGGATGTAAAAATTATTTTAATCATTTGCTGAAGAAACCATCATTAAAATTACGAGATACAGGAATAGTCATATCTTGCAACACAAGCGTCAATTAACCCAACAATCCTTTGTCATCATTAATATTTTTCTATAACATTTGTCATTACTTTACAAACCAATACCTATTTATTTTTACGACCTAAATTACAACCGTGTTTCAAAACTTTGGTGATTTCACCAATAAAAACATACTTCAAAAAACTGTGAAATTTAGATCGTATAGATATAGATATCTTTGTATTATTTGCAAGCTAAATACAGTTCTAGTTGGAATCTTTAAAACTACGTTTACAAAGGACCATTTATCGTAGCTACTTTCAGGTTTTCGTTGGGACAGAATAGTGAAATTATAACAATTAATCAATTGATAATAAACTAGCAGTGAACCCCGAAATTTTCTAGACAAATGGCAGTTTATAAACGTAGATTTAAAGATGACTTTTTAGATAAACAACCCTCATACAATATTTAGTTAGACACACGTAAAAATCTCGCAGCAAATTTACAACAAACGAACAAAGAACTTGTGTTGCAGGTTTGAAACAGTATGCCCGTTTTTACGTGTGTATAAAAATGAAAATATTTGTTTGTGAAAACGCCAGGTAAATTGATCATTGAAAAGCTTTTGGTCCGTTCGTTACTCCTGCGGTAATCACTGCAACAAACTTAAAAAGTCTCCAGCCTTTTTTTCAATAGAGAAAAAGCGACCATTTTTAGGATAGTGAAGATGACAAACTTTCCAATCATTTTTTTAACTACAACTTGCCCGAAATAACGACGGACCAAAAGCTTCAAATAATAAATTCACACGGCGCTTTTTCTAACAGATATTTAAAGTATTTGGTAATCTAGCCAAAAGTAACATTAGTTTTTAAGAGAGTACAAAATTTGTCATAATTATTATAAAACAGTACTGGTAATAAAATTATCTCACCAATCATTACTGGTGATACAATAGATTTATTTCATAATTACTCATAATTTAAAATATTTTATCCAGTACAAAATATATTTAAATTTTTAGTAAAGAATGAAATCCTTTCCAAATATTTTCTTAGAGTACACAGTATTGGTTGATTAGTAACTATGGCGCAAAGAAGTGCTGTCATTGGCTAAATGGGAAACGATTTTAACCAATGACAGACAACTGTTTGCCATGACAAATTACGTTATATATATATATAAGTGAGTGCATTCGTTTTAACGTGATCTTACAACGGGCAGAAAAGCGAATTAACGTCAATTGAGCGACCTGTAACAAGACGCTGATATCTTTGAATTGAAAAAGTACGTTTCAAAAACACAAAAAATGTTCCCGCATTTTGTTATACGATCAACAAACGATAAAATACGGCAAATTCTGGCGTCCTAAGGACAGAAATGCGCCTGTATTGAAATTTATGGTTTGCCTCGCGTAAAACAAAATGGTGGTAACATTGTACTTCTGACATCCTAGATATCCGTCAAAGATACAAAGTATCCCCTATTAACCATGATTAACCTCCAGCAAGTTAAACTAAAACTAAGAACTAATGAATGACAGATATTATTATTCAAATTAATAAATTATACAAATTCATCACCGCTGTTGGGTTCTGCATTGAAATATAGTCACTGTTAAAAACTTCACCAAAAAAAATACGACCTTGTTGTGTTTTGCGGGGAAATTCACCACAAAAATTTTAAATTGAAATTTCTCAAGAAAACGCCGGCTTTATATAATATAAATATCACAGTGGAAATATAAACTTCGCTATTGCTCTTAAATGCTTATGCTAATAGATTTTGAAGACCGAATGTCTTTTTCTCAATACAATTCTAACTATTTTTTCTCAAGTAGTATTTGGATTTTGCATATACCGTAGAAAAATGTCAGATTTTGAAAAATATTGAAAGAAGTTGGCGGACGAACTGAGAAGAACTGAGGGTAGTTTTTAACAAAGACAAATTCAAAATATCCCCCACGCAACGGTGATGTTACATGCAATCTATGCTCAAAATGAGAAAATTTTCTCCTAAAAATATTGCCTTACTAAAATGCCGTTAATATTGGCAGATAAGTAAATCAGACACAATAATATATTACAATGCGCACAGTGCCTGCATTAGATTAATCCCAAATGAACGTAGATAACACCCTTTGAAGGCATGGTTTACCCCGACTGATTATACTATTTTTCGAGTTTCAATCGATGTTATCTAGTGCCTTTTATCAACCACGGGCATTAGCTTTAAATGAATTTGATTTAAACTTTATCAAAATGGCAAGGAGTTGAGATGTTTTGAACTAATAAAATGGCTAGACCTCGCTTCTCAAAGTGACAGATATTTTCCGAGCAGATTTCGTTAAAGATTGGAACATTACACGTGAAATGACACGCTCTCAACTCCTAAGGATGAAACCCACCCACCAACCCTATTGCAGGTCAACTACGCCTCAAGGCCTGAATCTGCATCAGGCTAAGTGCACCCCTCCCTCCCCTCCATAGCAACAATATAGGAAATTTTTGGTATAAGTTCATGATAATTCGCAAGCCTTGTTTAATCAACTAGCACCACACGACATTCAGACTTTGCTAACAACTACATTCTAACTCCAAAAGGATCAATTCTCTGTCTAACATCGCCGCGTAAACGACGCACAGAAATTGCACCAGCATCACGAATAATAATTGTACACATTGAATTGCAAGGAAATTTCCAAACGGAAACACGGCGGATGCGGCGAATTCCTGTGGATGTTAGAAACATCAAATCGATCCTCGCTACAAGTTTATATCAAACTAGCTAATACATATATATATATATATATAATTATACAGTAGAGATCACCTCCCGTCCGCCTAACGCTCGACAAAAAAACCGCCGTTTTTTTGTAGACAAATACCTTGAATATGAGCTGCGTGACATTTCACAATAGAGCTATATCGCCAGAGATGAAATGACGCTGACTCATACGTAATGATATCTTCTATGAAACTGTACCAAACGATATCCAAATACATTTAACTAGTCACACAAAACCATGTCACGTGACGCGCGCCCCCATTCCCTTGACCGCTGACAATCGCCACGCACCGAAGGAACGTCATGCAAGCGAGAGCAGAATTCTGCTTTCAAAACAAGAGAAGAATTAGTAGTTTATAAATGATCGATGTTGATGTAATCTTGCACTCGAGTGCGTCGAGAAAGAGCCACATTGTGTTACGATTCCCGTTTTAGTAAAGCATTGATTTTCTACGCAACACGATTAGTTCAGAAATGCACGATTTTGATGATTATGTTTTCTGATTTCCAGTCAGTCAGTCAAAGAAAGATTTATTCTTGCAAAGAAATTCTCCCTGTCTTACGTAGACTTGCTGAGTAAGAACGTATTTATCGAAAAGGTGCATTGCATGTTATTTATCGTGTTGCAAGACTTCGTTCCAAAGCCAGTTTCGTGAAGGCAGAAAAACAGTTTCCTCTCAGATGTGAACGATTGTCAGCGATAAAACAACAACGAAATTCACCTGCTTAGTCGCTTACGTTTGTTTTGAGCCCCGGCGACATATCTACTTGGATCGTTACGTTTTCTGACAATAATCTTTGCTTTATTTGTACCAATCACTAACCTTTTGCTCATATCATTGTCCCCACTCTCCTCCTGGTCGTCAGCCTTCCCTTCGACGTCCACATCGACGTCTTTATCATCGGCCTCGTCGGACGTCGCTATGGTAACCTGCTCACGTGATACCTCTGGCGTCGCCATGGTGACGTCACGCCTCGCGTCGTAGTACTCGGACGTAATCATTGGCGTTACTCCGTTTTGAACGAGAGTGGGATGGTGGATGGCCTGGCTGGGATAACCGTAGATGTATGTGGGCTCCGGGCGATATACCTGCGGGACACCGCCGCGATCACGTGCAATCACTGGTACGCCACATGTGACGGGCACGTGGACAATTCGGCCAGGAGCGTCGATGACCGAGACCTTCTCAACGCCGCTGTCCACAGCCCGTACAACAGAGCCCTGATCCTTGTGTTTTTGACTGATAAAATCATTTTGAGTATCACCGTGCGAAGCTCGACGACAAGAGAAGTCAAAATCTCTTCTGGCGTCGCACTCAAGGCCTTGAATGCGATCAAGAAGATTCTTGAACTTCCCTTTCCAAAGGAGAACTTCTTTCTGGAGATCTGCGATGAGATATTTTTCCTTCACATGATTCTGAACCTGGTCGAGCCATTTCTTCTCCATCCCATCTCGTTCATCCTCAACATCACGCAGCCTCTTTTTCAACTTGTCCATTTCATACTCACGTTCGCCAACCTAAGTCGAAAAGCAACAATGGCATCTTTCGTCAACAGTTATGGCAGAACTGTTCTTCCTGGAGGTCCAGTAAGGATCATCTCTTATTGATCCAGTGTACTAAAGGAGGAAACCTAAACTCAACTAACTTTATTTATACTGGATAGCTCTATCAGTTCTAAACTGTTCTTCCTAGAGGTCCAGTAAGGATCATCTCTTATTGATCCAGTGTTACTACAGGAGGAAACCTAAACTAAACTAACTTTATTTATACTGGATAGCTCTATCAGATCTAAACTGTTCTTCCTAGAGGTCCAGTAAGGATCATCTCTTATTGATCCAGTGTACTAAAGGAGGAAACCTAAACTAAACTAACTTTATTTCTACTAGATAGCTCTATCAGTTCTAAACTGTTCTTCCTGGAGATCCAGTGTAACTACAGGAGGAAACCTAAACTAACTTGGACACCATAATAAAATACCGAGTCTCTGTAATACCTTCTGCATTTGATTATATTCGTGATACTGCAGGCCATTATAATGCTTAGCAACGACGCCATTCAGAGCTCGTATCTCAGTCGACTTGACGCCGCCCTCAGCAGTCTCAAGTCTCTCCTGTTTGATCATCGTTTGTGAGGGGGACTGGGGATAGCGGTCAATATGCCCAGAGTCCATTGGCCGGCCGCCATGTTCGCGGTAATCCTCGGGAAGGTCATTTTGTTCCACGTGATAGCCACCACCATTGACGACAGTACTCGGGCGTTGTTCGTAATCGATCGATCTTCGCCGTGATTGCTCGGCTTCTTGATCGTGGTTCATTGCTAGACGAACGAGACCATGTTAACATCGATGTAAAGAACAGCCATACCGTATACACAACGTAAACAAGTAACACAATTGGAAGTGTATATTTCGTTTGCTAAAAACGGCCTATTTTACAAGCAGAAGCATTTTACTATACAGACTGTGGCAGTACGACAAAAGATGAATAAGATTTGAACGGAATCGTTCGATAAACATATCGAGAAATACAATAATGGATGAATAACCTTCAATTGTTGAGAGTCTCTTGGCTGTATTGATCTTCGCCTTTCGTTTATCCAGAATCATTCGGTATTTTTGTTTCGCCTCCTGTAAACTGACTTCACCCCGCTCAACTTTGCACATGATATCATATGTGTACTCTTCATTACCACGATCAACAAACTGAAAAATACTCTGCTTCACAGGAAGACCTTTACTCATATCTTTCAAGAGACCGAGCCTAGAAAGGGAAACATTTTTTATAAATTAACTTCACAATAGTTCTGCACTGTTCTTCCTGGAGGTCCAGTAAGCATCATCTCTTATTGATCCAGTATTACTACAGGAGGAAACCTAAACTAAACTAACTTTATTTATACTGGATAGCTCTATCAGTTCTAAACTGTTCTTCCTAGAGGTCCAGTAAGGATGATCTTCTATTGATCTAGTGTTACTACAGGAGGAAACCTAAACTAAACTAACTTTATTTATACTGGATAGCTCTATCAGTTCTAAACTGTTCTTCCTAGAGGTCCAGTAAGGATGATCTTCTATTGATCCAGTGTTACTATACAGGAGGAGACCTAAACTAAACTAACTTTATTTATACTGGATATCTCTATCAGTTCTAAACTGTTCTTCCTAGAGGTCCAGTAAGGATCATCTCTTATTGATCCAGTGTTACTACAGGAGGAAACCTAAACTAAACTAACTGTATTTATACTGGATAGCTCTATCAGTTCTAAACTGCTCTTCCTAGAGGTCCAGTAAGGATCATCTCTTATGATCCAGTGTTACTACAGGAGGAAACCTAAACTAAACTAACTGTATATTGGATCTATCTTCTATGCTGAGGTCCAGTGTTACTGTACTACAGGAGGAAACCTAAACTAAACTAGCTTTATTTACACTGGAGCTTTTAGTAAAGCTTACCTGTATTTTTCCATGATTGAAACAGCTCGCTCCCAGCACCGGTTGCTCATTTTAGCAACGGCATAATAATGACACAACAATTGACTCATATCACGATTACCATCCTTCAGCCAACTTCGGAACTTCACGGCGTAGTACTGTCGTAGTTTTCGCATTTCTTCCCGGGGAGGCTCGTCGATACCTTCTCTTTTCCCACCAAATTCGTACAGCTTGAAACGCATCTCTTTGACTGTGGGCTCGAAGTCTGGCGGCCATGGACTGTCGTTGATGATATTTTTACCAGATGGAACGTAAACTTCATTCTTTACTTCAGTCTACAAACAAAATGAAATTTGATATAACAATTTTGTAACCAATACAAAGAGATTTCTTGATGTATAGCGTACATTATTTTAGGCGGTTGTTACACAACATATTATGGATGTTATCAGAAGAATTTGGCACTATGGCTCTTGGTTATATTGGAGCAAGTTATTCTTTTGAATATCTCGATCTGTTCTAACTAGAGTTCCAGTAAAGATAATGTCTTATATGGATCCAGTGTTACTACAGGAGGAAACCTAAACTAAACTAACTTTATTTATACTGAATAGCTCTATCAGTTGTAAACTGTTCTTCCTAAAAGTCCAGTAAGGATCATCTCTTATCGATCCAGCGTTACAACAGGAGGAAACCTAAACTAAACTAACTTTATTTATACTGGATAGCTCTATAAGTTCTACACTGTTCTTCCTAGAGGTCCAGTAAGAATCATCTTTTATCGATCCAATGTTACTACAGGAGGAAACCCAAACTATAAATACTTTTTTACACTGCGATTGTCCGCGCTTACCGACATAAAAGGATCATGACAAACAAGAAAATCCAAATTATAATCCATAACAAACAACAAGTCTCGGACAAACAGGAGGAAGAGAGCAACAAAGAGAGCAGAATTCGTTTACATTTACCACATTCGTCTACTCTGGCGATGGAAAATATCGTGGCTGGCGGAAACAAGAAATTTATTTTTGCATGCATGTCAAAGATATTGCCTGGTTCCTTGTCGTTGCGGGAATCCAAGGGCAGTCTTCCGAAAGTGTTTATCAGAGCGAAACGCATGGCAAATGTTTGCAAATATACAGCTTGATCGTATCAAAATTTTCAGTTAAATTCGTGAACATAAATACTACAAAACACCGCGGCCTCGGTCCGAAAATTGTTTTGATAATTGTACCGTTTTAAAGCAAAAAAAAAGCGAAGGGTGCACTTAGATTCAAAGGCGGGAATGCAAGCAAATATCCGCCCTGATAGTTCACATTTTACTGCATCGTTCAACTTCTTGCACGAAAGATTGTTGTGGATTATGATATACGATATCGAAAATTATCAACTTTTTACAAAACGAGGGAGTTGTAGTCGTTTGTTTTGAGAAAAATTCCATATGGTATGATTGGAGAGTTACATGATGCTGCATGCTGATTATATAGTTGCATGACTGCCAAACAAAGTCTTATCTTGGTAAGACTGATATATCTTCACCTGGGTCTAGGCTGTTCGTAACTACAGCAATGGCAATCGAGAAATTACGAGCAATATTTTAAAAACCTATGACAAATTACGAAAATATTTCGAGCTGCAAGCAAAAAAATCAAGCTTATTTCCGCTACTTTGAATGATAACGTTTGAAAACGTTGTTTTCAAATGCGATGGATGAAATGCGATGGATGTAATGCGATAGTTTCATGCGATGATATAAATACAAATGTATATTCCACGCATATATTATATATGTCTTGAATTCTTTGTCAAGGCAAAGAAAAACATTGCAAAGTGGAAAATATTGATGCACATGTATATGTAATGCAAAGCAGCCCATCACGAACGTCAGGTGTATATGTCATCACTGCTTCTTGTGAAAGCATTTGTTGGCTCTTTGTTTACGTTTTTCCGCAAATAAACATCCCCCGGTACTTAAGCGAACAAAGGATATTTTTTATAATTCTGCTTGGGCTGTTTTCCAGCCAATATTTAAGGAAACTGCATACAGGTTCTGTGTAGTTTCAACGGTCGAAACAAAGAACCTTCAAAGATTCCTTGTTGTACAAATTAAGACAAGAATTCAGACGGGGAGACTGCTTTGAAAAACAAGATGAATTTAAGTTTTAAACTCGATCAGAAGGAGGTGTAACGTAAATTGCCTTTAAGTCATCAGGCCGAGTTCAAACGTTGCACGTCAAAATTTGAACAACTTAAAAGCCTTATATATTATATTCACCACAAAATTGATGGGTTTCCGACATACGTTGTGTAATGCATGCAAAATAAGGTAGCTACTATATTTACATGCATATAGGGATAAACTTTCTTCAGTTAATCATATAAAACGGCGCCTGCTTGCATGCCTGGCTACGAAACTACAAAATCATACGAAGATAATGAAAAACCAAGCGGTTGTCCTTTGCAGGACAGTAAGAATGATGGAGTATAGATTAATGAAGAAATAAGAGACAGCCGTTCACTGCATGGGTCTTTTGGGTGGAATTTCCAGTTAATAAGGGGAAATGAGAGGAATCTTCTCACTGGATTTCTAGGGAGACTTTTCCATTCGATAAAGAAAAAAGGGTATAGCTTTTGTAAATATTAAGGACGACGCAGAAATAAAGGTAAAGCAAGTTCTCCTGACGTAGAGCCTCAGGTGGAAAGGTCGAGAGGTATTTTTGTCTATTTCAGAAGGTTGTTATATCGCATATGATGACAAGTGATTAGAAAGCGCTGCTCATGCATAGGTTACGCTTGAACGTAGTGGACTCGAGTTGTGATTCTTTGAGAACGAGTTGTGAATAAAGACATACGAATACAGTCTACTGATTGCATTTCAAGGGCAAATTGAATCATGTCTCCCCACAAACAAGCTCATGAAGTCGAACACAAGTGTCCTCGCAATTGATAGAAATCTTGGAGCAGGTGATAAGACTGCCGTTCAAGAGCGAATGGACGCGAAACAAAGCAAAAAATGAAAGCTTGGTTTGGAAGTATTTATGGCATTCTGCCCGCCGTCTTCACGTGAAACATGTGGGCTAATCACATGTACACAGCGTGACACCCTCAACCTCGGGCGCCACATTGACGGCGCCTTACAAGACGTTTACAACCAGCATAGCATTTTATCATGATAGAGGAATTTCATTGAAAAAAAAAGCACTCGTCCAGCACATTCCACATTGTTCTACACCGTGCCCATTTAGACCCAAAAAACGCAAAATAATTACGTAAATTGTAAATGAAAGTTATCCGCCCTCCAGCGGGGATTCTCTTTGCAGCCTAAGACCCATCTTTTGTTGACAAAAGTTTTTCAACGAAGCTAAAAATGGAACGCTATGGCACCTGCTGTTCGTCTAAAGCTGGACACGGGTTTAGCATCCGGAACGCTTGTATTTTGCCTTTTGGGCACAATTTCAACGTTGAAAATCAAAATTATATCGAGTCGATGTGAAGAAACGATTGAATTGGGCAGGCAGCTAGCTAGCCAAGTGTTTTTACTACAACAAACCATGTAAGGTGATACGATCATAAGATTTGTCGTGATCCAAAAAGTGGCTTTGAGGATTGCCTAAAGTTCCCATTACATGCGCCCTAAACCGATTCAATTTAAGAAAAGTACCCCAGAGAGCTAGAGGAAATGCGTGCGAGGATGTGAGCGTGTGGGACTAAACGAGTGCACATGCCGTTGTATTAGAAACGAAAGTCCGGAATTTCTCGATGAGAAATTGCGTGAGTTAGAAGAGATATCGTGACGACATCGTGTCCATTAAAGGCAGGCATCGCTAAGTCTGCCAAAACACTCTAATCCTATTGAAACAGCATATGCACACAGAGTTAATTTAAAACCATCCGTTTCTTTGCCTCACAAACAAGCAATTTGATAACAACTTATTAAAATTAACACACGCAGCACTACATACGCGAATCGCTTAGCACCTTAGCTCGAAATATAATAAACACAAAGTATAATTAGCCAGCCCACGATATAAACATGCGTCAGTGAACACGCAGTTCTTATAAAGAGCAACTCAATTCAGACCCCAATAATGGCAATTTATATATATAAACATGCACGTAAAGGAAAACCTATAGAGAAGCTATGTCTAGCTATGCATCGGAAAAAGATCTTGTGCCATAGTATACCTTGGCTTAGGACTGACGTAAATTTTCAAAATGCCGGGAACGACCAAGGCATTGAAATTTGGAATGAAAAATATTTGCCCTCATATATTTGTCGTGGTATTTTCTTTCTCTAAGCGCGTAAAAGTGGTTATGGAAACAGTATATATATAGCAATATAATTGATACTGGATACATAGTAATGCACTATATGAATGAATGAAAGGGCTTACAGAGAATATGCATTGTTGTAATTCGTTGTGTAATTTCCTATCGATTTAAAGACATTTCTAATCATCAAGAATATAATTACACCTCACTGTTATATATGTTTAGAAAATGGCAATTTAAGCTGTGTTTTTCCACTATTTTTATTGTCAATACGGTGATGGAAAAATGAAACTTTAAAGCCTAATTTAAAAGGGAAAAGAGGATACTTTTTCAGATGATTTAAAAATATATGGTTGGTTTCACACAGACCGCCATATTGTAAACATTAACCACACTGCAAGTCGAAGCACGCGTAAAAAAATAGAAATCAATACGTTTGCCCTAAGTTTATATTTTAGGCTAACCACACTATATACAGCGTAGATGGCATGTATTTTGAACGTAAACGCTTTATAGATAGCTTCGTTATTCGGCACTTGTTGAAAAATGGTTGCGTAGAAGGCCTGAGGTTATTTGATACATAATATAACAACTTCTAAACATTCAGCAAACTGCTATCGTTTCCAAGCGAAACAATTCCATTCATACCCTGTTCGTGAAAATCCTACAGGAATTTACCACGATTAGCACTTACAAAGAAGAAAATTATAAAGAATAGACAGAAGCTTTCAAAGTGCTGCTTGTTGATAAGACGGCTGCGAAGCCTCAGGATTTCACATGCATACGATCAATATCATTTTCGATTAGTATTTCTTTAGCGGATTACTCGTTCAAATTGGATACCAAAATGGAGAGGTGTAACCAAATATTCGAAGCGTACAGCTTTGGGCATAGCCTTTCTGTTTATACAAATTACACACACCTCTGATTAAAAATCTCCCACTGGGAGTAAAAGGCAGAACACACAGGTACTATATTTAGCAAAGAAGACACACTCACATTCTTGAATCCGTATTGTAAACTGTGTTCTATCCTGTAGTACATGTTTAGGTCGTTAGGT